GTGAAGAGCATTTGCTACTGTAGTTCATGTGCACTATATTCAGGAGCTGATAAGGCACGATACAACAGCAGATAAACTTCTAACCATTGGTTCTACGAGATTAATAGGAAAGGAAATACTTGATCTTGTTAATGCTGTCACACAAATAACATGATTCACATGATCAGATGCAAGGATCATTAATTTTTTTTACAACAACAACTCACATTTATATAGCGCCCCTCAGGCAGGATAGCGTCCCAGAGCGCTTGATATTAATTTTTAATGCACAATGTAATAATAATAATAATGAATAATCATAATAATCCTTGCATTTGATATAGCGCCTTATCTTACAGTTGAATGTGAACAAGACTGAGGCCCTCCTGATTGACTCGCGCCATTGCCTCAGGCTCCGGCAGCATCACCTCCATGGTTGCACACTACAACTCACCAACTCACCAGTCAGTCAGGAACCGAGGTGTCTTGTTCGACCCTCAACTGTCTTTTCTCCCCCACATTCAAGCCATGACCCGCTCTGCCTTCCCTCACCTCCGTAACATCGCCCGACTCCTCCACTACCTCACCCCTCAGGCCACTGAAACTCTTGTTCATGCCTTCATCACCTCCAGGCTCGACTATGCAAACGCCCTGCGTGTCGGCCTTCCCAACTCCTCCCTCCACAGCTGCAGATAATTCAGAACTCTGCAGCCCGTGTCCTCTCCCGCACCAAACTCCGTGACCCCATCTCCCCCACTCTCGCCCGACTCCATTGGCTCCCTATCCTTCAGAGGATCCAGTTCAAGATCCTGGTCCTCACCTACAAAGCCCTCCATGGCCTCGCCCCACCCTACCTCTGTGACCTCCTAACCCCCTACCAACCCACCCGCTCCCTCCGCTCAGCCGGCTCTGGCTGCTCCACGTCCCCCGACCCACCCGCCCCACCATTGAGGTCACGGAGTTTGGTGGCCTTCAGCCACTCTGCCAACCTCTGGAATTCCATCCCCCAGTCACTCCGCCTCGCCCCCTCCTTAGCCTCCTTCAAGTCCCGACTCAAGAACTTCCTCTTCGACCATGCCATCGGCCACCCTCCTTCCCCTCCTCTCCCACCCCCAACTCCAGCTCAAGTCTGAAATGCTATACTCTGTCCAGCACCTTGGGATGTCCTCCCGACATGAAAGGTGCTATACAAATGTAATCTTGTTGTTGATGTTATCGCCTCTTTTTGTCTCTGTGTCGCGAATGGGGGAGAAAGGAGACGATTTTCACAAACGTGCAAATGTCGTGGCACCAAATGGGCATAATAATCATAATAATAATCCTTGCATTTTATCACGTCTTCGAGATGTCTCAAAGCACTTCACAGGATATACTGTAAAGTGAATTAATTGTATGTTTTGTGGGCGGAAGGTATCACTTTGAGATTGAGGCTTTAAAGGCAATGTTCCAGTTTGACATGCCCCACTTTTTCTGCTTCTTTCCCCCCCCCCCCCACTCCCGCTAATTATTTTCACTTGGTTTGGACTCAGTTAGTGAGATGCGAGACAGCTGTACAACATCTCCAAGGACAGGAGACAGTTCAGCCGAGCTGTAAACCAACCTTGGAGGCCACAGACTGGGGCCATTCACTTATTAAAGTGAAATGTTACACATGTTAAGAAAAAAAACTATTCAAGTGTAAACATTGAGATGCATAACATTTTCCATTTTTAAACATGTATCATAGGAACAGGAGTAGGACATTCAAAGCGCTTCACAGAATACCCCATATCCCTTGCTACCCTTACCTAACAAATATTGACCCTGGAATTTCCTTGTTTTGTCTGCTTGTTGCTGGAGGACAGTGTTAAGAGTAAAGAAAGCAAGTAAACTGGACTGCTAGCCTGCCTTTCTGCCCACTGTATACTCTATCTTGCTTTCGTCGTTACTTAAATGGACAAAACCTTACTTAACTCAACCTCGCCATTTTTTAGGCTACATTGAGATGTTGTACGTGAAGGATGATATAAATGCCGAGCGTTATTGCCGTAAATTCAGCCATTAAAATGGTGGTGGGGTAAACGTACTCTCTGCGGTCACATTCATTGTGTTTCTTTACAGAAGGAACCCTGTGTTGAGCGTTCCCTTGAACGCAGACCCACTCGCAGACGCTCATTTGCACAGTGAATGCAGTAGCAGTTTGCTCTCAGTCCTGAAATGGGAGCATTTGATGTTAGCAAAGACCTGACGTTGGGCAGTGATTTGGTGACCATCTTGTTGCTGAAGCCAGCAAAGGGTGGAGGTGGTGGGTGAGAGAGAGAGAGACACAGACACACACACAGCGAGTTGTGTTGGTGGAGGAAAACCAGGGGTTAAACAGTTAAACTCTGGCAGCCAACTTTTCAAATAGGATTTCAGTGGATTAAGCTCCCCCTTGTCACCAGCTGCCAAACAGCAAATGGAGCCAGTTTCAAGTGTAAGCAATTCGGAATGTATAGACCAAAGAGCCATCTCTCATTTAGACATTTGACGAAGGAAATTTGCAGCCAATTTGACATCCTGTTTGCTGTAGTTGAGATTTTTGGAATGAACTGGTGTTCTGTACGTTATGTAAAGGTTTTTTTTTACTCTGCGTTGAGGCCTGTAGATTACTAATCTGCTCGGGCTATCACGTGTCTATGATGATGTTGGAACGACTTGCTTGTTCCCAGGGCCGCCCGGGAAAACTTGCCTCTTGCCCATTCTGAGCGAGCGAGCCTCCCGGCCTGCCTGCCTGCCTCTTGGGGAGTTCAAGAGGGACTTCTTTATGCAGCGGGTGGCAGGAATGTGGGAATCCTCGCCAGAAACTGTGGTCGCACCAGAGAGTCAAGTCAGCAGGAGGAATCTCGATGATACATGAGAGAGGGGAAAAGGGAATCGAGGGGTCTGGCGGAGGGGGAGTTGGGATGGGTGGAGACTAGTGTGGGATATTAAAGACAGACAAATCGACCAAATGTTTTTCTTATTGTCTGTTTCTGCTATTTCACGACTGAATTTTCAGCAACGACCTGCATTTATATTAGCTTTCACCTACACCGCGTTGAAGCAGCAAACCTCGAAATTGGTGAAGTTGAGTCAATGTTTGTCCATTTAAGTTTGCCTTTAATAATTAATGATAAAAGCATTTGATACAGAGCCTTATGGTGTCACTGTTCCAAAGCGCTGCAGATTTCTGTATAGAGTGTTTCACAACCGAAATGCACAGTCAATTTACTTTACCAAAGGCGCTGTATCAAACGCAAGATTATTATTGTTATCATTTGCAGCTAATTTGCACGCTATCTCCCACAAACAGCCAGAAATTGAAGGGCTTGAACCCACAACCTTCTGACTCCCCAATCGTGAATGCTACCGACTGAGTCAGGCTGATGGCTCTTAGTACGTTAACGCGTAAAGGCTCCCGAGTGTGAGAAATGTTTGCACAGCAAATTGGGGCCGGGCGGGGAGAGGAAACTCCATCCAGGAGTTAAATTCTGGATTGGAGCCCAAAGCAGATAAGTGGCCATACAGATAGTGAACAGATGAATCCATGGAGCTCTATTGTGATTCAGTTGATAGTACATTTCCCTCGCTTTACAGTGAATGCTGCAAACTGCTTTGAGGCGACCTAACATGAAAAGCACCACATATAATGCTATTATTATTATTATTACTATTATTATGGCTGTTTGTGGGACATTGCTGTGTGCATTTCGCCCACAAAATACACAGTCAATTCACTTTACAGTATATCTTGTCAAGCACTTAGAGACGTCTCGACGACGTGATAAGGTGCTGTATCAAATGCTGGGGTTCTTATTTTTATTGAAGCCCCCTGTCTGAGGAATGATGAGGGGTCAAAGTGGATAAACTCAAATTGGGGGTGGGGGGGAAAAAAGTTCACAGCTCTTCCAGAAATGTGAGAATCTGTGTGACGCAAAGCGACCGTGTGGAGATTAAAAATTGTTTAAAAATCTCGGTTCACAATGTATTTTATTTGCCACACACAAAAGGGAAAAATCCTTTGCTCCCCATGAAATTCTTCATCGTGCTGCCTTTGCGTTCGGGACGTCCTCCAGACGTGAAAGGCGCTTTACAGATGTAATATTGTTGTTTCGCCGGCAATTGAGTTATCTGCGTCGGGCAGATGGGTTTGAGTTTTCTCCGCCGTGGAGGGAGCTGGGTGGGCTGATTGACTATATCTGGTTCTCGTGTCCGTGGTACCTCACTGCAGCTGTGGAATAACTCCGGCTGTGCACAAGGGCTTTTGTATGTTGGCTGGGATCGCAGGGTTGGCTGTTGCTGATTCGCGTGTGGATCATCTGAAAGCGTGGAGGTGCCCTAATGAATGAATCATCACGCCCGGAAAAACCATCCTGCGCTCACTGAGATGTGTGCACGTCCCACGAGCTTAAAAGTCCCTTTGCCGATCATTTACCAGGTGGCATGTTCTACGTTGAAGCTTCTTGGGCGAGCAGGAAACGATAACGCAAATGTTTTGTCTCGCTCCCTCTCGCTTCGTGAGTCGCAAAGGTCGGGGGTTCGATTCGCTTTGGGGTCTTTGAGCTCACGTTCTAGGCTGACGCTCCATTGCAGGATTGGGGAAGCCCAGTGCTGGCAGAGGTGCTGTCCTCATTGTAAGACGTTCCACCGAGGTCGCGTCTGCCTGTTCGGGAGAACGCTTAAACATGCTCCGGTGCTATTTGGAAAGGGAAGGGGGTTTCTCCGGGTCTCGTGAACAGCGCCCCCCACGCCCCCCCCCCCCCCACCAGATAAAACTGGTCTGCGCGCAAATTGCCTGCCGGGTTTGCCTACGAATAGTCGCTGTGCTTCATAGTAAAACTCCAGTGAAGTGTTTTGACAATATGACAAAATGTCATATCAAATGCAAGGATTATTATTATTAAATGTATATGTTAAGACTTTTAAAGCCTCTCACAGTTAAATTCAATATCTAATTTATTTTTATTTCTCCCCCCCCCCCCCCTTCTCTCTCTCCCCATCTCTGTTCTTTTCTCTCTCAGGTTTGTCCGGAAACCCATCCGATCTCGACAAAAGAAAACTAGTATTTGGCCAGAACTTTATACCGCCCAAAAAGGCAAAAACGTTTTTGCAGTTAGTATGGGAAGCACTACAAGATGTAACTTTAATTATACTAGAAATCGCAGCCATTATATCGTTGGGCCTTTCCTTTTATCGTCCTCCAGGAGGAGACAGCGAACGTGAGTAGCATTGACGTTTCCAGTGGGGACGGTTGTCGCTTGACGGTCAATCTCTTAGCATTTCAACGGCGATTTTCCTGTCCCTCGATCAGTTGTTACTTCATTTCCCGGGCGGGTGCTTTTCTCTGCTGTCCGCCAGAGTGTTGACCAATTCACAGGCTCGTACCCCTCCGAATCTGGCCCACTTCTGGATTCGAGGGTTCCCGCCCGGGATGACTAAAAAATTGGTCACTCAATCCACGACAGTTTGTGGGGACGCTGCTGTGCGCTAACTGGCTGCAACGTTTCAGCCACAAGCTACACAGCTTTACAGTATATCTTATGGAGAGTTTGAGACAGCTCAACGATGCGATAAGGCGCTACATCCAATGCAAGCATGATTATTATTATTAATAATAAGGCTATGCCTTTAAATATAAATGCTATAGAACCTAGAAGTGCCTGAACTGGCACATAAGGATACTCTGCGCCTTGTAGGCAAATGGTGCCAATTCAAAGCACTTGCTTCTGAGTAGACTGACGGCAGTCACTCCTGACTCATTGCTAAGGTGTTTAAGGGCGCGAATACCCCTGGGCGAGCCGATGACGTGAGATTTAATTCTGGTTTTGTCATTTAACGACCGGCAGTAATGCCTCTCAGGGTGAAAGATAATTATTTTGTTTGTTTGTTTACCCGCAGTATGTGGGGAGGTTTCTGGCGGAGCGGAGGACGAAGGGGAGGCGGACGCAGGCTGGATCGAGGGGGCAGCCATTCTGCTGTCCGTCATTTGCGTGGTGCTGGTGACGGCGTTCAACGACTGGAGCAAAGAGAAGCAGTTCCGCGGCCTACAGAGCCGCATCGAGCAGGAACAGAAGTTCACCGTGATCCGCAAGGGGCAGGTCATCCAAATCCCGGTGGCCGAGATCGTCGTGGGAGACATCGCGCAGATCAAATATGGTGAGCGTGTGGCAGTGCCTGGGATTCCAATTAAGGCGAGTCCTAACTGGGTGACACGGTGAGCTCTTGATCACCAGGGGAGTTCCGATGGCGAAGGCTCTTTGGTCCCGTTTGATTTCCATCTCGGGGCATTCACAAAGTCCTCCCGACGTGAAAGACGCCGTGTAAATGTCATCTGTTGTTGTTGCTGCGTTGGGCAAACAAGTTGGAAGATTAGGTCTGGGAAGGGAAGGGAAGGAGAGAGAGATGGAAGGAGGGAAAGAAATGAGGATGGGTCGGAGGGAGGTGGGGTGGGTGGGGGGGGGGAGGAGGTGACACATATATGGCTTTCACTAACTGAAAGCAATCAGGGGCCTCAGTGTGCATCAACATACGTCTTAGACCACGCTTTGCCATTTCCTCCCAGCATACATCTCCTGCTCAGGTGCCCAACCGGCCATGACGAGCACTTTGAGACGTCCTCCCGACGCGAAAGGCGCGATATGAACGTAAGGTGTATTGTTTTGAGTGTTTCCGCTTGCTCCCGTCATCGGGGAGCAGGTGTGACAAGATTGCCTTTCGTTGCAATGCCTTACGCTGGCTCCAAACACCCCCTCAGCTGCCTGTGCAAACTCACATCTCTCTCTCCCCCTCGCTGTGTCTCCACAGGTGACCTTCTGCCAACGGATGGCATCCTGATCCAAGGCAATGATTTAAAAATAGATGAAAGCTCTTTAACAGGCGAATCGGACCATGTGAAGAAATCATTGACGAAGGATCCAATGTTGCTCTCTGGTGAGCTAATGGAGCTGTTGCCTTAAAGACTTAGCCTTTTAGATCAGCAAACACAAGTACCTCTATTATTCCTCAATCCATCTTCTTGGCGTGCGCCTTCTGTTCAGAGCAAAACGTCCTTCGGACGAAACGTTAAAACCTCACTCCCCGTCTGCCTGCTCAGGTGGATGGTAAAGATCCCACGATGCTGTTCGAAAAGAGAAGGGAGTCTCTCTCTCTCTCTCTCCTCTCTCTCTCTGTCTCCCGGTGTCCCTGGCCAACAATCCCTCCAAATAAAATGGGTCACTCCCTCCCTGGCTGTATGCGGGACAATTGCTGCGCGCAACTGGCTGCCGCGTTTCGCCCACAAAATACACAGTCACTGCGCTCTACGGCGAATTCCGTGAAGCGCTTTGAGGCGTCTCGAAGACGTGATAAGGCGCTGCATCAAATGCGAGGATTATTTTTGTTGTTCTTATTAGCTGAGATGTCTGCCAAGGTAAAGACTGGGTTTCACACGCCCAGGTGCCCCAGACTGCATCTTGTATGAACGGTCTTGTCTGTTCTGGAATGTTTCTTTCAGGCACCCACGTCATGGAAGGGTCCGGTAGGATCCTCGTCACTGCAGTCGGTGTGAACTCCCAGACCGGGATCATTTTCACATTATTAGGAGCAGGTACTGAGGAGGAGGAGAAGAAAAACAAGAAGGGTAAGTTGAACCCATTTGATTGGGGGCGGGGGGGGGGGGGGAGGAGGGAGGTGGTGGGGTGGTGGGGGGGATAAAAAAGTAACTCGTCTTCAGTTCTTCTTCCAAAAGCAATCGTTTGCAGAAACTTTTGTATACTTAAAAAAAATTGCCAACCCGTGAATGTGTGGACCTTAAGGTATTTTTTTAATTAAAATCGTGCACAGATTTCGTGGCAGGTCTGAGTAAGGGGATGTTGCCCTTTTTATTGGGACGCCGCTGTGCGCAATTGACTGCTGCGTTTCGCCCCCCAACCCCCCCACCCCCCGCCCGCCCCAAATTAGACAGTCAAGTCACTTTGGGGTGAATGTTACGTGAAGCACTTGGAACGAGTTTGCACTAAGCGTCCAGTGGCTTCCAGTACTTCAACATCTCGTGTTGTGTCGCGTTAGTTAACCCGTTCTTTGTAGAAGCCGAGGATGTGCGACAGACAACCTGTTGGGATGTGGGGGGAGAAGAGAGATCCTGTTTAATTATGAATTTCTGATTTAAACACAGCAGTTTGCCATCGAGTTGCAGGGAACGAATTTGCCTTAGGATTTATGTGTGTGACTTTTTTTTTAACTTGGAGGCAGAGGATTGTATTTTAACCCTGTTTATGTCAGCAGGTGTGCTCAGAACCCCCTGTCTCTGACTGAGCGTCGAACCGTTTCTGCACAATTTTCAGCTTGCGTAAACGGGATTAAAGGCTCCGTTCCAGCAACAAAAAGCCCAAACTACATTTTTTTAATATTTTTTTTAAAAGAAAGGCTTTTTTTTTAAAACGAGGAGAAACTTGCTTAGAACGCGTACTCCCCTTTCCCTGTTCTTTTATTTATTTCAGGCTTATATATATATATTTTTTTTTAAACTCTGTTTTTCTAACTTTATTTTCCCGACTTTTTTTTAAAAAAACATTGTGTTTTTTTTTCTTCTTTCATTCGGCTCCCGCCGTCCGTGTCAGAAGGCGAGAGCGACCTTGTTTTTAAATCATTTTGCAAACGGTTGAACACAGTTTTCTTGACGGTCTTGCAGCCAGTTGAAAGGCTAAAGGACCTGGACAGTTAACAGGCTATTCTGTTAACTCGCTCTCTAGACTCGCTCTCTCTCAACCCCCCCACCAGCCCCCACCCCCCAATTTCCGACCTAGATTCAAAGTTGAAAACGGGGGCCGCAAACTAATAAACAAATAAACTTGCCAATCGATCAGTACAATAGCCAGTGCTTTTAACCTTCCAGTCAACCCAAGTTGTTGATGGGGCTATTGTTAGATTGGTGTCCGTTGCTGATCTATTCCGAGCAATTGTTGAAAGATATCGTGCTGATGAAAACATGGGTTCACCTTCACTTTTTCTTCCTTCCCCCTTTCCCCCACCGCTCCACCTCCTCGTCCACCCCCAAAAAATCTTGTAACCCCTTGAAACGGCAGAGCGCAGCGCGCAGCAATCTTGACGCAACGATAATCAAGTTTAAAAAAATTCGCCATTTTAGCTTTCAAATAATCAGCTGTTACTCAATTTCAAGTGAACTTGTTTTCCACTCAGTAATTGATTTGCCTTGTGTTGTATTTTTTTTTTAAAAAAAGGGTCAGTTTTCCCCTTGCTTCGTCTTCTCCCCCACTGCCCCTACACACCCTCACTCCCCACCCCCACCCCTTCCAAAAGTGTCGTTAAAATCCATAAAGGGTTGAATGCTTGGAGGGAGCAGAGACTGTCATAAATACCAAACTCTCCCTTTTTCATGTACAAAAAAATACCCAATGCCAAGAAATGCTGCAATAAGCCATGACTTCACACACTTCAATTGAACAATTGCACATTTCCACATGCAAAATAGGTTCAAATCTTCTTGTTGTTTGGCAGAAATCCAATTGCCCACCCAATACCACTCACAGATGGGAATGAAACTTGTCTAAATGTTTTTTTTCTCTCTCTCACGAAGAAACATTTACACGCTTACACGATGCTGTAAAAGCTAATTGATTAACGCAAGTGGCCTGGCGTTCTCTTACTTAGGCCGGTATTTGAGGAACCATTTTCTGCGCCTCTCCTAAAACAAGCTTTCAAAGCTGGCCGTTATTTTTTTCTCTGAATTCAACTTGCATCAAAGCATTCCTTTCGCGAAAAAAAAACACAGCTACCTAGAGGCTTTTTTAAGGGAAGGAGTTCCCTTAAAAATGTGATGATATCATCTTGCAATTGTGATGATAAATTACTGCCTCGGTCGACTTATTTGAACTGATGCCATCTCTTCATAATTGTACATTTTGAAACGTTTAAGATCTTCACCAAATGACTGGCGGGGTAATAAAACCACCAGACGGATGATTTATAACTTTTGCTTCATCCACACACCCCTGTTTTTCGAAGTGCCTGCGATCCAAGACTTCTTGGGCAAGTCGTAAATGTTTTGGAAGATAATCGGGAGCATTAGCTCATCTCTGATATTATCGGGTCACATGCAATGCTGGGTCATTTCTGTTCATTGTCAATCTCGCCCACAAAAAACTTTGCCCACAAAATAAACATTCAATCCACTTTCTAATATATTCTGTGTAGTGTTTTGAGGCTTCACAGTCTAAATGATGTGAAAAGGCGCTACATCAAATGCAAGTATTATTCTAATAATCTAGGCCGGCTTGTGACTTGTTTTAGGAGGATTTTTTTTAATTTAAAAAAAATCTTGTTAAAAATCATTAAATTCTTCGGAATTACTTTAGCATTTATTTTCAAGTGCGAGTCATCCATGTACCAAACCTTCATCTTAACATTTTTCCGAGATTTATAAATAATTTATTTTCATATGAATCTGTTTACCTGATAGTAAGTAGAAACCCGGTTGTTAGTCAATTGACGGATCGCTTTTCCAGGGATAATAATCCCTCCAAAAATAAATAAATAAATAAATAAAAATTTAAAAAATAACAAGGATTAATTTGGCCATTCAACCTTTACGGGACACTGCTGTGTGCAATTGGCTGCCCACAAAATATATCTGTGAAGCGCTTTGAGACGCCTCGAAGATGTGATAAGGCGCTACATCAAATGCAAGGATTATTATTATTCCCTCGCGTGGCCAAATCTCATTCTTTAAAAAATGGTCAAGGCTGAAAGGTTTGGTAGAATGAGGGAGAACCAGTGTGGTTTTTTTTAATTAATTAATTCAATTAATTTGTAAAGTCTTGGGCTTTATAAATTACTATTGTTAAAGCACCTTCCACATCAGCAGAGGCAGAAACCTTCCCAGAACTGAAGGGCTTTTGAAAGCGATTTCAATTAATAATCCTTTTCCTTTAAGTGATAAGAACGGAACTGAAAGAATTGCTCTTAACGGAGCCAATGGCACAGACACACAGGATGGGCTGAAGACCACCTTCTGTGCAGTAAATATCTATAGTCAAGAACTAAAGCAGCCCAAGACTTTAAGGTATAAAGACAGAGAGCGCTGGGAAAACTCAGCAGGTCAGGCAGCATCTATGGAGAAAGGAAAGTGAGCCAACGTTTCAGGTCCACGACCCTTCGTCAGAACCTTTTTGTTTCAGATTCCGGCACCTGCAGCATTTTGTGTTTTGTTCAAGATTTTAAGGTGGTGCTTCCCAGCAAGGACACCGCTGGGCGCAATTGGCTGCCGCGTTTCGCCCGCAAAAATACACAAGTCACCCCACTTTACAGGATATCCCGTCGAGCGCTTTGAGACGTCTCGAAGACGTGATAAGGCTCTGTATCAAATGCAAGGATTATTATTATTATTATTATTATTATTGCTGCAAACTTTGGGGTCAGGAAAGCGAATCTGTGACTCTTTAAGTTGCCTTTAAGTTGCTTTAAGATGCATCATTCCTGACCCAATTTCTGCTGGTACTCGAAAGGGGTTTTTCAATGTGCAAATTGATTCTGACGACCAGCCCTTTATTCTGGGGGAATAAAAAGGGTGAGGTGACGGAGGGAGCAGTGGAGGTGAGGGGGGGGGGGTCGGAGGGTTAACTACCAGAAATGGTAAATCAATCCATTCTAATACGTTATACTTTTAATTTCGATTCCATTATACTCTGAGAACACCGCAAGCTTAAACATCTCAGTGAATTAGGTCTGCCCGTCTGTCACATACCACCCCCGAGAAACACATCCGAATTCGGTCGCTCGGCGCCCCGGCTCTTTGCTGGACGCCTCCGCGCGCGATCGGCCACGCAGTCGATTCACCCCACGGCGAATTCCGTCGAGCGCTCCGAGGCGTCTCGGAAGACGCGATGAGGCGGCCAATGCGGGATCCAATGCAAGGACTATTAGGGTCATCCCAAAAGGCACGCACGCACGCGCACGCACGCACACGCACGCATGTACAGCCAGCCGGCCGATTTTTCCTTTTGGTTTGCAGCAACCCCCGAGCAGCATTGACTTAACATTTCATTCCCAGTTTCCAGCACTGCTAAAACATGAGCCTTTTTTGCGTTCCGGCATTTACGAAGTCATGTGACGAGCATTCCACCCTTTTCTGTTTGAACAGGTAAAAAACAAGGAGCCCCAGAAAATCGCAACAAAGGTAACCGTCAAAAAACATAAGACGAGCACAACTAACTGGCAAACATTCTCTCTTTATTTTATTTCCGTTTGTTTGTTTGTTTGTTTGTTTGTTTCCTTTGTTTTTCTCTTCCTTTCGGTTTTATTTTCTCTCTCTCTCTCTCTCTCTCCCTCTCCCCCTCTCCCTCTCTCTCTCTTCGTTTCCGTTTTAACCATTATCTTTGTTCGAGTTCGCTAACACATAGTGGGACCTCCACCTTCTGTCTAGGGGTACAACGATTATTGGTGGGGTGGGGGCCGGAGGGAGAGAGAGAGCGAGAGAGAGAGAGAGAGAGAGAGTCCAAGACTTCAGTTATTGTCGATCTTAATCAAGCTCTTGTGGGGTTTTTTTTTGGGGGGGGGGCAGGCGGAGAGAGGCGAGGTGGGGGTTGTGGCCAGGAAATTTAGATTTTTTTTTTTAGATATTATTTCCACACCTCCCCCTCCCCACCCCCACCCCGGTTTTTATCCCGTAGTTCGTTCTGTTTGTATTCGTTAATCCACGTGAACGCTATCCGTTTCTCCCAGTGCCCTGGGAGTGAATCTACCTGTTGCCAATATCGAGTACGGTATTGTCCGCTGTGCGATGACTGTATCGTGCAACCGCAAGACTTTTGAATTGGGCCTTTTAAGTACTGTACTACTGTACTACTCGTCTAGTTTTCTGTTAGCTTAAATCCTCTCCTTTTCTCTCTCTCGAGGGTGAGTGAGGAATTAAGCCTCCGTAGCGACATCCAGGACACTCGCCTTATAAAGGACATTTGCACTCCACACAAATCTAACAATTTATTACAGGATCCCATCCACTGGCTCTCCTAATCGCCAAATACAAGAGCTGTCTGTTCACCTCTTTAAGCCCCGTTACGTTATGTAAACTGGAGCCGGCTATTGCCACATGACTTGTTATTTTTAGTCCGCTTGTTGCTCTTGACATCCTGCCCTTTGACGAGGATGTTCTATACAAAGACATTGCGAAAAGCAACCCGATCTTTCCTGTGCGCATCAAGGAGAGCTATAGAGAGACGCGAGTGAGCGCGGCGAGGATCAAAATAAAAACAACCAAAGAAAACAAAGTTGCACCTAACTTTCAATCCGCAAAGAAAAATAATCGTTGAACCCCTGATTATTCTTTCATGGTGTCCAAACATTCACGTTGTGGTGTCAGCACTGTTTCTCCAGGCTGTGTGGAGAACCTCATACCTCACCCACTTTCTACAGTTGTCTTTAGCTTCTAACATAGTCGTTCGCTCGTCCTCCCTTATTTCTTCCTCTTACCCCCCACTCCCTCTCCTCCCTCCCTCCTCCCCCCCCACCCACCGCCCCATCCCTTTCTCCTTCTGGCTCTGTTTTTCTCTCGCTCTTCAGTAAGTATTTGATATTAAATAGGATGACGCTTCACTTGAGTGTCCAAGGAAGTCAACGTACCAACTCGTGGAGCTTGACAGGGCTCTTGCAGAGCTTTTGGGGGTGGTGGACGCTGGTTGCTGGGTTTGGTTCATTTTGCTTTGATACAAACAAAAGTCAGATGTTTTAACGGTGAGCGGTGAGTAAACGTTTGTATCCAAGCACAAGGACCGCAAATGTACGGGGATATCGGATGTTAATCTAGAGGCTGCAAATTTCCTGAAGGTTACGTTTTCAGATCGACCTAAACTCGTTCGGGCGCGAGTGTGAATCGCGAGTAGCTTGAGGACCTCTCAGCCATTTTGCCGGGAGCACTTGAAGGAGTTCGGATAATCTCTTTGTTTTTTTCGCAAGCTCATTCGCCGCGGCAAACGTTGGCCTCAATTTGATTTGGTTTAATTTAATTTGCTTTCACTTGGAAGATTTTGGTGCATTGGCAAGCCAACGCAACCTATTCCAGCATAGCTGGGTAGACTTCCAAGTCTACAATTCTAATCGACGTAACTGTAAATCCTAAGAAATACCCAGGGTTGTACCCATATGTATGCTTTTCCCAACACCCCCCCACCCTTGCGTGTTTGAGACCGCCCAGGCTGCTTTCTCACAGTGATACATCGCTGGTCCCTGTTCTGCAAACGCAGTGAGCAAAGGGAAAACTTCAGAGCGGAGAACACAGCAAGCATTTGAGGTGAATGCAACGCTTTCAATTGCAGTTGTTCAAACTGAAAGTAGGAATTAACGTCACCAGTCATGGGTTTAACTTCCCTAATGTGGTTAGGGCTGCCACCACTTTCCTTGTGCCGAGTTGCAGAAAATTGGGGATGATGTGTTCAATCAAACTGCCTCCCAACGTAGTCCAACCAAACGTGGGCTTTGGTTCCATTCATTTTTTTGTGGTTCACTAGTGACTGTTGTCTACTTCTACTTTTATTTAATGTTTGTTGTACTCAATCACTTCAGATACCAGCTATCATGGTTTTTGTCTTTTTGCCGCCTTCCAAACAAATCACGGGCAACGAGACCAAATTGTGCCGTTGGTGTTGGTGTTGGTGTTGTTGGTGGTGTTTTGAAGTGTGGTGGAGATCAGTATTGAATGTCATTGGGGCACATTGTTAATCCATTTTATACAATTGCAAAATCGATACCATGTTATAGGAAATGTTCGGTAATCAAACTCACACAGAGTGACAGCTATTCGAAACCTTTTTAAGTCGTTGTCACTCCAGTTACTAACGTGCTGGGATCCAAGTGTGAAGCATTTTATTGTGAAAGTCAAAATACCCTTTTATTATATATATATAATATATATATATTGCCTCGAAATCCCAGGCGATTTTGTCATGCGCGATACATTACTGTACATTTCTGAATAGCGCAAGGATAAATGGATGAAATTTGCCAGTACATTAGAGACATTTATTTAACTGGTTCTCTGTGGATTTATTCAAAGCAACTCCATAGTCAAATTTTATTTCAGATATGTATATTTATATATATATATATGTAGAAAAAATATAAGCTTGTGTAAAGCTCTCTCCTCCCCCACCCCACCCCCATGATTTTTCTGGATAACCACCCTTTGAGAATGATTCCAAAGCGAGCACGAAATCAGCGTAAAAATCTGACAGTGTGCATTAGTCGCTTAAATTCTAGCCGTGTGTTTGTCGCCTGACTTTTATCAAGGGCGTTCATCCCAATTAAGCCTCGGTGAATCGAAGGTAGTCAATTCCAAGCTACAACAGCGGTAGAAAGTTTACAGCACCCGAAGGAGGCCATTCAGCCCACTTTCACTCCTTGTCAGGATTTCTCTGGAGCCCCTACTCATCATAAGCAATGCATTATTTCAGTAGATCTAACATAGCGTGTTCTGATCACTCTTATCGGGGTGAATTTTCCGCAGCTGTTTTTCCTCCCTTAGTTTTTCGAGGATTAAACATTCCATCAGCCCCTCCCTGACGCGTGTTTCCATCAACCATTACCTATTTTAACGGCTTCACCCCAATATGTTCCAAAAACAGCATGAGGACAAATGTGCTCCATGGAATAGAGGGTGTCAACACTTCAGTGTAAAGAGTCAGGTTTCGCTCTCTCTGTCTTGTTGCCTGTGTGGACGAGAGTAAGTGAGTTCAGTCCAATATGTACGGCTGTGCTCCAGTGGAGCCTTTTTGCCGTGAGATGCTAAGGGATGGCAAGTTTTTGGCGGAGTGTTTGCAAACATGTCTCACTTTGTTGGGCCCCAGCTAAAGCTCAGGATGGTGTTGCTCTGGAGATCCAGCCGTTGAAGAGCGAGGAAGGCGTGGACCTCGAAGAGAAGGAGAAGAAGAAGTCTCACGTACCAAAGAAAGAGAAGTCTGTGCTACAGGGAAAACTCACCAAATTGGCCGTGCAGATCGGAAAAGCTGGTAAGACAACATTGTGTCATTGTAGCTTTTAACGGCTTAGTTTTAGCTTCGCTGCAATAGTTTGGGACACAACGTGGAAGGCAAACTGGATGGACCTCGGTCTTTCTTTCGCCCAGCAAATTCTTCCGTTCACTATATCCCGTTCACTTTTTGGGTTGCCCTCTCCCCCCCCCCCCCCCTTCCAAAGAAATAAAACGCCTCCTCGTTTTTTAAAAATTGTAATTTTTTTATAATTATTAAACCCAAGCAATTCAGTTCAGCTAGAAAAATAACGAGGGGTCAGTCCCGAGACCTGGAGGGTAACAAATATTTTGGTGGTGGGGAAAATGGACAAGTTGAATGCAAATATTATGATTACTCAACAGAAAAAAAACAGAGGCTGATAAATAGACCTTTTTTTAAGAAGCCAATCATTGCCTCAAGTCTATCTTGAGGAGGTGACCATTAGCGGACAAAGGTTATTGAGTGCACCCAATTTATTTGGGTTTTCTTGAGAGATTTTGATCAGCATTTCAAAGAGCTGGCGATGAAGGAGTCGGTTTATTGAAGAGTATTTAATAGGATTGAGGTTGACCAGGTCTGGATGGACATGGGATGAAATGCTTTGCAGATCGTATTTTCCTAAGATGATGGCTGAGTGACTTCTGGAACACAGCTTATTGTAGTCAGGGTGCAAGGGATTGGGTGTAAGACTGGATTCATAACCCTGACTGCGTTGTTTGAAAGTTCAGTAGAAATGGCCAAGGCTTCCCTCTGCAATTGTTCGCCTCCCCGAGTCAGTTCTGTTGAGCAAATTGTACACGGTCTGTGGAGTGTGGCACTGATGGGTTGAAGATGAGTTTGCATTCGGCTCTCATGCTATCAGCCTTTAGTTAAGAGGGTATGAGCGACAGTACAGCCCAGTTGCAGCGCCTCACTATCAGAAGGATTCACTTAGCACATATCTGGCAAGCTCTCATGTTGGACAGACTGGAGGCTACAATTTTGCGGCGTTGATTGTGATGAATGTTGACAGCTTTACTAGTGGGGCTGAGAGTTTCTTTGCTGTTCCCTTTTGACAAACTCTTCCCAGTGATGCTCTTCAGATGGGAGCACGTTCTGTGATCTGGAAGGAATTTTTCCACTTAGTGATTAGCGGACGGCTTGTTCCTGACGCAGTCGGCTGCGTTTCGTTACTAGGCAAGTTGCGCAGCTCCTCACAGCCCGGCTTTGGAGCCGATTGACGACAGCCTAGGTTAGGGTTTTGTCGCTAACCTTAACCGCTGGGCGCAATTGGCTTCCGGGTTTCGCCCACAAAATACACAGTCTTATTTACAGCGTATCCTGTGAAGCGCTTTGAGACGTCGCAACGACGTGATGAGGAGCTGCATCAAATGCAAGGATTATTATTGTTATTATTATAATCCACCCGAGTTGCACAGAATAATGCAGTACGGAAACGGAGCAATTTGCCGGAACTAGTCCGTGTTTCTACTCCGCACAAACCCGCCTCTGCTATTCCCCCTCTCGCTCCCATGACCCCTCTATTCTCTTCTCGCCTCGTGCACGGGGTGGAATACACCAGCTGTCTAAGCTCGTGCCTTCTTAGGATCTCTCGTGCCTTTGGAAGTGTAACGCGGCAGTAGTCGTTAGCGCCTTAATTGGAAGCTAAAGGGCTTTACAAACCATGCGTCCAATGTTGCTCGTTGTGCTGGAGCAGCTACATGAAAGGTACATTGTAGAGAAACGAACATCTGTCAGCCCGTTTTTGTTTTATATATTAAGCGAGATTTGCCAGATCAGATATCGTCTTGGCAATGACTCACGTTCATAAACTTGCAAATTACCTGTCTTAAAACCCATCCACAAATTCATATTATGACATCCCGTGTCAACTTGGCCCAACCCACGCACTTATTGTCGCTATCAACTGAACAAAGAATTCGTATTAGTCTGCAGACTGAATTCGCAGAATATTATGTAAAATAAATTCCGTTTTTATAACCAGGATCAGGAAAGTACATTGTGGGCGAGAAATCTTTTAATCCTCAGTTTAGTTTATAGTTTTCCCTCTGCTCCATCAGGCAACCCAGAGTAAATTCCGGTGTTGATGTCGAATGTTATCGGGCTTTTTTTTTTCTGGTCTCTATAAAGTATTTGTCAGCCTGGCTCAGTTGTCAGAAGGTTGTGGGTTCAAGCCCCATGTAAAGACTTGGCACGTATAGCCTTAAGTTGAGGCTCCAGTGCAGTTCCCGGGGGAGTGGGCTGCATTGTCAGAGCTGCAGTCCTTTGGACGAGATATTGAACCCATGTCCAGTCTGCCTGTTCAGGTGGATGTTAAAGATCTTGTGGCCATATTTATCAAGCGAGGCGAGATTCTCCCCGTCTCCCGGTACGCAATCGCCCCCCCCAAATAAAATTGGTCGCTGACTCCGTTACTCTGTGCAAATCGGCTGCCGCTGTCGCCTACAAAACAGTCACTGCACTTTACAGTAAGTACACCCTCTGAAGCGATTTGACACGGCCTCCGGACTTACGCGTCGCATGTGAAGATGACTGTTCTTCGTGCTCTTCAAGGGGCAAAGTTTCAAAACCAAGTTGGGAAACATTCAGAAGCGACTGCTTAAAGTTCCGCTTGTTGAGGCTGGAGGCGAGAATCGAGCCACTCTAATTCTGTATCTGATGGTCACTGATAGACTTGAACGCATTAAATCCTAATTAAACCAGCAAATCATACAAATTAGTTGACGTTTGATTTGCTGGTTTAATTAGGAATGAAAAAAAGTGCTGTACAGTGTCAATTTAACATCAGTTATTGTATACTTATACACACAGTTCGTTATGAGAATCTTTTGCTATCTTGCATAATCGCTTGTCACACTGTAGTGTGTTAGCTCTTAATTGGCTATTCAACTTGACTGCGTTATAAATTACTTCAGTCGCCCTCATTAATTTTTTTGTCCTGCAGAGAAAGATTAATCTAAATTATTATTTCTCAGTATGTGTGCGCAAGTGTGTGTGTGTGTCTCTCTCTCTCTTCAGCCTTCAGTCTCTCTGCCCACCCCCCCCACCACCACCACCACCCTTTGGAACTCCATCCCACAGTCCCTTCGCCTCGCTCCCTTCCATGTCTCGCCTCAAGATCCTCCTCTTCGACCGCGCCTTCGATCATGCCCTCCCGCCCCTCCTGATCCCGAGCCCCTGATCGGGTCCAAATCCCTGACTGTCCAGGGCCTTGGGACGTCCTCCCGACGTGAAAGGCGCTGCGCAAATGTAATGTGTTGATCTTGTTTCTCTTTCCTCCAGGTCTGCTTATGTCTGCGGTCACAGTCATCATTCTGGTGGTGTACTTTGTGATATACACGTTTGGGGTGCAAGGCAGGCCCTGGCTGAAGGAGTGCACCCCCATCTACATCCAGTACTTTGTGAAGTTCTTCATCATTGGCGTTACGGTGCTGGTGGTCGCTGTTCCAGAGGGTCTTCCTCTCGCTGTAACCATCTCGCTGGCGTATTCTGTGAAGGTGAGGGATGAGGGGGGGCATTGTGACGTTCTCCCGCATTGTCGAGTCTTCATTTCCTCCGTCTCCCTCTGTAGCGTAGTGGTTTAGAGCACTCGCCTCGCAACCCAGAAGACCCTGTGAATTGGCGTTGTATCACCTTGCACAGGGCGCTATATGTATACAAGTTCATGTCACTTATATATATGTATGTGTATGTATATATGTGTATGTATCATATTATTATTTATTATATATATTAAATAAAAGCTTCCGCTTTGACAGAAAATGATGAAAGACAATAACCTGGTTCGCCATCTGGACGCTTGCGAAACGATGGGCAATGCCACGGCAATCTGCTCCGATAAGACCGGGACCCTCACCATGAACAGGATGACCGTGGTGCAAGTTTACCTTGGAGAAACCCACTACAGGCAGATTCCCGATCCCGAGTCCATTTTACCGAAGGTTATGGAACTGGTCGTGAACGGCATCGCGGTGAACTCCGCCTACACTACCAAAATACTGGTGAGCTCACTTTGCCTTGCAGGATGCTGGGCCGGTTCTAAACAATCTGTTTATAAATCGTGGGACCAATTTTTTTGTTTATTATTGGATTATTATCATTTGGTCAAATTGCTACCGCTTTGGGGGGGGCGGTTTTTTGAGAGGGGGAGAGGGAGAGAACACGAGAGAGAGATGAATTTTAATTTAATGAAGCAAAAGGCAAAATACCTCCCAGACGGTGGGAACCTGAAATAGAAACAGAAGCGGCTGGGAACACGCAGCAGGTCAGGCAGCATCTATGGAGAGAGGGAAGTGGGTTAACCTTTCAGGTCGGTGACCTTCCGTCAGAAACGTTAACCCACTTTCCTCTCTCCGTACCCCTGGCCCCCTGACCTGCTTCCCAGCGACTTCTGTTTTTATTCTTAATTGAATTAAATTGGTCATCAATAATTACTCGCACGCTAGATTGTTGGAATGGAATGCACTCTCCGTCTCTCTTTCTCTCTCTTTCTTTCTCTCTCTCCCTGGAGGGACACATCCTGCTTTACCTAATCCCGGAAAGTATTAGGCCCAGGTTGGCGAGAGCCAAAAGGCTTGGTGCGTAAGTTGTCAAACGGTCCCAAAGCAGTCCTCGCTCGACACTGCCTGATCCCATATTTTTGTTGCTGTTGTTACGACGGTCTCGATTTTCCTTCTTCCCGGTTCCAGCCCCCGGAGAAGGAAGGAGGCCTCCCTCGTCACGTGGGGAACAAGACCGAGTGCTCGCTGCTGGGCTTCGTGCTGGACCTGAAGCAGGATTACCAGGCCGTGCGCAACGAGATCCCGGAGGAGAAGCTCTACAAGGTTTACACCTTCAACTCCGTGCGCAAGTCCATGAGCACCGTGCTGAAGAACGCTGACGGGACCTTCCGAATGTACAGCAAGGGGGCCTCGGAAATCATCCTGCGCAAGTGAGTACATTCTGTGCAGCGCTTTGATGGGTCTCAACGACGTGATGAGGTGCGATATCAGATGCAAAGATTATTATAAAATAGCCACCTATTTAACCACTTGATGCAAGTTTTTATTATTATTATTATTAGAGTTGACGGGGTTCCACGTGTGTCGGGTGAACTGCGGCTGATCAAAATCCAATCCAAATAATTCAGCATTGGAAGCAGCGGCCGTTATTCCTATTTATCATTATGTTTTGGTTTACCAGTCGAGTCATTCTCACCTCTGCAAAGTGAAATGCTGGCGAGGGATGGAGGGCTTTTTGTACAAATGCCACGGGCAGGAATTTCGTTGTGCGTTTTTTAATTATATTGGGCGACGGCCTGAGTGACGATAATTGCAGTGGGATTTGAAACGTTCAATTTCGCAAGGAATTTGCTTAGTTACAGCTGATTATTGCCATCAGTGGCGTGTAGGCTGGATATTTTCACATTGCTTTGGTGACTACCAGATCTGGTAATGTTCGGGGTCCACCCTCGCAACAAAGCATCGTGGAAAGGTTCTGAGCCGGGCCCTGGGGGGGGGGATGTTTCCAAGGACTCAAATTATTGTCTCTTCCTCTTTCATCTCTTCGCTTCCCAGCTGTTAAGTCCTACATTACTTCCATCCACAGGGATTGTCTTGCTCCCCATCGCTCTCTATATTAGGCCACGTGTGCTTTGCTATCGCCTCAGTTTGCAACCCCACCAGGGCAAATAATACACATGGTGTTCACAAAGTCCTGTTACCCCCTTTGTGTGGGCGTTTTTTTTCCTGCACTGCGCCGACCGCCCACCGAAACGTGTGTTAGAATGATGATCATTGTATTTAGAAGAATACTTAATTGTAATCGGTTAGACGTCCTGAGGATTGATGTGTGCGTGTGTGTGTGTCTGTGTGTGTGTGTGTCTGTGTGTGTGTGTCTCTGTGTGTGTGTGTCTCTGTGTGTGTGTCTGTCTGTGTGTGTGTGTCTGTCTGTGTGTCTGTGTGTGTGTGTGTCTCTGTCTGTCTGTGTGTGTGTGTGTGTCTCTGTCTGTCTGTGTGTGTGTGTGTGTCTCTGTGTGTGTGTGTGTCTCTCTGTGTGTGTCTCTGTGTGTGTCTGTCTCTGTGTGTGTGTGTCTCTGTGTGTGTCTGTCTGTGTGTGTGAGTGTATGAGCGCCATCATTTTCACGGCAGACAATGATCCATCATCATGCTCGGCGCCACATCACGGACGGCTGGAGCCAGCGAGGAGGAAGTTACTGGTATCCAACATTGTTTACCCTCGATTTCAGGTGTACTAAACTGCTGAACAAAAAGGGAGAGGTGAAGGTTTTTAGCCAGAAGGACCGTGACGAAATGGTAAAGAAAGTGATTGAACCGATGGCGTGCGAGGGTCTGCGAACCATCTGCCTGGGCTACAGGGACTTCACCTCCGAGCCGGAGTGGGACAACGAGAACGACATCCTGAATGACCTGACGTGCATCACCGTCGTGGGGATTGAGGACCCAGTGAGGCCAGAGGTAAGTTGGGGTTGTGGGGCTGTTGGGGGTTTGGGTTGAAACAATCACAGAACCGTTACGTGAACAAACGGTTGAAACCCCTAAGAAGTGTTTTTTGGGGGTGTGTGTGTTTTTTTATCGCGTGGGATTTTTAAGTTAAGACTCTTCTCGATCCTTTTGCGAAATTTTCGTCTCGTTCAAGAACGTACGTCCGCGAGCAATTGGCCTCCGCGTCTCGCCCACAAAGTACACGGTCACTCTCCAGTTTGCAGTATGTTCTGCGAAACGCTTTGAGACGTCTCGACGACGATATATCAAATGCAAGGATTATTATTGTTATTATTTATTACTATTATTACGTGCGTCCAAAAGAAGTGCCTCTGAGGGCTGACAAGCAGCTCGGGCTTGTTGGCGATTGAACGTACCAGCTTTCTTCCATTAGAAGAACAGCTGATCGTGTCTGACCCCGCACCCTGTCCTGAGGCAATATCCAGTTACATTCAGCGATCGCCCTGGTTGGGGGGGGGGGGGAATGTCAGCATTCTCAGCTGCTGTCAGGCTGAGGGGGAATCCCTAATGGTGATGCGTCGACACAAACCCCTAGAGGTCGGGAAACATTGACCCATCGCCCAATGTCCCTCGACGGATCTTGTTCCGGCCGGTCTGGGAGAACGGTCGGCTTTTCGTTAAGCGTCCTCGGTTTCATTTTGTCGGAATATCTGGTTACTCGAGGAGAGGCTTCTGTTTCTGCTTTGAAGTGGTGTTGAATTATTGATGGTTTGGGGATGAGATTCAAAAATAATGATGCATCTCAGAAATGCCAGTTAATATATCCGAGTGTGTGTGTGTATGTGCGTGTGCGTGTGTGTGCGTAGATAGTCACAGTGTTTTTTTGACCGGCATCTTTTCCCACACTTTATTTAGTACTTTAGTGTGTGTGTGTACTTTTATATATTTTAGTATATATAGAGAGATATCTAGAGGATATGCCTTTTTTTTCAACTTCTTATTCATTCAGGTGGGGCTACATTCAACCTGAAATGCTGTACTCTGTCCAGCGCCTTGGGACGTCCTCCCGACGTGAAAGGCGCTCTACAAATGTAATCTTGTTGTTGTTGTACCCTAACCAGCTGCCGCGTTTACATACGACATACTTGATCTAACAAAGATTTGGTGTCATCTCGCTCCCGACCTTAACATCGATTCCAACATCCATTTTGTTTGAGACGTGTTAGAAGCAGCGATGTCCGAACGCTGTCCGTGCAAAGCTCGGCGTGGAACGGGCCGTAAACCGTTCACATCAGGAGGACACCTCGAGTGGCCTCACGGGGTGCCTTGTGAAGTCCAAAGGCTGTGTTTTTGCAGGCGAAGTGGTGGTACACTTTGGTTGACATAATCAGGGAGCCACGATTTGTAGCTCTCATCGACGTCCATTTATTTCTTTGCGCCATCCATTATTTTTTGGTGGGGGTGGGGTGGGGTGGGGGGGGGGGGGGTCGGTGGGTACTGCCTTGATGCACGGAAACCCATCACCACGCTTATGAAAGAGTATGAATACAAGGGCAACCCGAGAGGCTAAATTTCTGTCCTGATTTTTAAAGAGTTTCTCTTTCTCGCTTGTTCTCTATGTGTATTTGGGTATCATCTCGTGGCTTGAATTGGGGGATGTGAGAGGGGGAGAAAAGAGAGAGAGAGAGAGAGAGAGAGAGAGAGAGAGAGAGAGAGAAATTCAGTGAATGCACTGAATAACAAGCTGCCACAGCCAGCGGACGAACTGCAGCAAATCACAGCCTGTTTGGAACCAATTTAAATTTAGAACCCACAGTCTCGGTTCAACGCATTCCTTTAATTATTCTGAAAAGTATACGGTTTCAGCCGCAAACGGCAGGAGAAACACGTCGGGAAATTCAAGAACCCAACAACAAAAACGTTCACTTCAATTTCTCCCCTTTTCTTCTTTAGAAACGAGGCAGGAGGGAGGGGAGAGGGGGGAGTGTGGGGAGGAGGAGAAAGTGAAGATCGTCAGGTTTTTTTTAAATATATATAAGCTTGTGCTGAGTGTGTGTGTGTGTGTGTGTGTGTGTGAAGCTGGGCTTAGTTTAGTGTTTTGTGTCCCTCACCTTATGTGAAGAGCTCAGAAGTTGTTTCCTCTCTCTCCCCCCCCCCCCCCCCCCCCGCCTTCTCTCTGGGAGTCTCGGCGCACTTTTGCCTCGACTTGTGCGGAAACCCATTGCCATGCTGTAAGGGTATCGAGTACCAGAGTGAACGAGCACACGTGGGCTCATCTTGCCCCCTCGATAACGACATCAGCGTTTCAACTCTGGGGCCCACAGAATATTTGGAGCAATTTATATTCTTATCGCTTCTTTGAACGTTTTCTCCCCAGCCCACCCCACCCTTAAACTCTGAATGTACGGTGTTAGATACCTGGTCTCTTAAGATCAGTCTGAGTCAAGCTCTTTGAGGTCACGGCTGCACAATTTGCTCGCGAAGTGTCTGGAGGTACTTATTATCTATAAATAAACGGGTCGTTTTTCCTGAAGGAGCCACAACAGTTCTGCTCCTCCATTTCCCCAGTGAATATAATTACACCCTGTGTCAGCTAGTTTTATTGCTTGTATTGAAAGCCATTTATTATTCCCTGTCTGCTCAAGTTGCTGTTCTGTTGGTGTGTTTATTTTTTTATTTACTTAACCCGTCCACTGCCGTGGGTGGTATTTCAACGAATCGTAGGAGTTTGCGGCGGGTACCAAAGGAGGCCATTCGGTCTGCCTGAGCTGGCACTGACTCTCAGCCCACTCAGTCACACTGCCTTCCCTGCCCACCATCAAGCCTATTAACTTGCAGCTCGAGGCAAGCAGATTGGGTTGTGTTTGATGAGATGCGTTGAAAAGGCGAGTCCAAATTTATTTGGCGCAAACGGCAAGGTGTTTGAAGTACTGGAGTTTGATTTCGCAACTGGGTGATGGACGTCGAGTGTTGCGTAACCTCTTGTTGCAAAGAACTTTCGTTTGTTCGTTCGTTCGTTCCTTCCTTCATTCATTCATTCATTCATTCAGTGAGTTGGTTTCACTTTATTTACTGAGCTTTTGTTTGTTTGGTTATTTATTTGTTTGTTTGTTTGTCTGATCTTTGCAGGTTCCCGATGCCATTACCAAGTGTCAACGAGCTGGCATCAGCGTGCGCATGGTGACCGGGGACAACATTAACACAGCTCGTGCCATTGCCTCAAAATGTGGCATCATCCACCCAGGCGAGGATTTCCTGTGTCTGGACGGCAAAGAATTCAACCGGCTCATTCGCAACGAGAAGGGAGAGGTAAGGTATAGCTGGGTGACGGGTAAGCTGGAGGGTGTGTGTGTGTGGGGGGAGATCTCCTGGTGTCTGACTCCCAAACACAAACCTTGTGGAGTTACTAATGCAAGTCCCCCAAATCCCTTTGCTTGTTTGCCCTCGCTGTGTTCAGCCCACTGCTTTTGCACCAATGCTCGCCCACAAATATACAGTCAATTCACTTTACAGTGTGTTCTGTGAAGCGCTTTGGGACGTCCTCCCGACGTGAAAAGCGCTATATCAAATGCAAGGCTTATTATTATTATTAATATTACGTGCAACTCAACTAGCGTTTTATCCAGCTCCTTTCACGTCTGACCACTTCACACAACTGGTGGGCATCTGAACTGGGGGTGAGGAGGTGGGGGGGTGTGGGAGGGGAAGAAATAAGTGTGGGGGAAGCGAAAGGAAATCCCATAGTTAGTTCTCCGCTGTAAATATTACCAAACTGACTCTTGTGGCTCTCTCTGTCTCTCTCTCTCTCTCTCTCGCTCTCTGGCAGACAGAAGAACGGAATTGTTTTAAAACCACTTTTTTATGGGCATGACTTGAGGGGAGGACAAACCTGCCAAAAAGTCTGCGTCTCAAAAGAAATTCCTTTTTTTTATTATTAGGGAAGCAAAACGGAGCTAATCCTTGCCTTTTGAGGTTAATTTTAATTTGGGTCACTCGCTAACACAGACAGCGGCCCTCTTCATTCAAGGATATAATATAATATAACAGCAGTCGTCTTCGTTTAAGGATAGTAATATAAACTCACCGGTGACGTTAATGTGGTCACAACTTCTCATTCCGTTTTCTGAATTTAAATCATGAATTCCCACTCCATATTGGCAGCTGCAAGTCTGTGAGTGAACAGAACAGTAATGAAACCAGTATTAATGCCTGCTGGGGTTTTGTTTGTACCGTGTTTTCCCCCCCAAAAAAGTCATGTTTTTCCTGCTTCAGAAGGTTCAATCATTTTTGCCATGAAATTTCCTATCGTTGCCAACATAGAATTAATTGCTGCATCAGCTGGCTTTCTTTCACTCGATCCAACCCCCACATCAGTCGGTGAATGAATTAAAAGACTGGTTCCGTTTTTTTTTCCTATATTCAATTAAAAAAAAAGCAGCGACTGGTTTTAATTTTCGCTCGGGATCGTGGCGATCCAAACGTCCGCCTTTTGCTGTTAACGTTCGCTGGCGAATTAAATTGACTCGTGTTTTTATCGTTTGTACTGCACTTGCGCAAACCCGCAATGCCATTTCGCCCACAAAATGCACAGTCACTCCACGTCGCGGTGTATCCTGCGAAGCGCTTTGAGACGTCTCAAAAGACGTGATAAGGCGCTGCGTCAAATGCGAGGATTGTTATTAATAATATTAATTTACGTTGATAAACAGAGGCCTTTCTTGTTGGGAGGACGTCCCAAAGCGCACCGTCCATAGAGCTAGATTAGGCAACTGAGCTGGGAAATAGGGAGGCGAGGGCAAGGATGACCAAGAGTGCGGTCAAAGAGGTACGTTTTGAGTTGAGCCTTAAAAGGAGGGAGGAGAGTGAGATGGTGGGGTGGGTGGGGGGAGGGAGAGGAAAGTAGAGTAACAAACGAGTGCCTTGGAATGCGTGAGCCCAGTTGAGTCTGGCACTGTGCAGGGCTATGGACGGTACAAAGGTGGACTCCACACTAAATACAGCTGTCCGTCAGTAACACCACGTCTCCCCCCAAAGCTGTGTTGAACTCGCTGAATGGCAGTCTCTAACTGCAGTATTTGGTTGCTGATTAACCTTGAGCACCGGCTGTTTTGCTGTCTGACTGTTTGATCTGTTTTCTGAAGGTGGAGCAAGATCGCCTGGATAAGGTTTGGCCGAAACTCCGTGTCCTGGCCCGATCCTCGCCCACAGATAAACACACGCTGGTGAAAGGTATTCCTGTTTGTTCATGTGGCCTTTCGTGTCACGACACACGTTTTTGATCTGGACGTGTTTTGGCTGATCGGGAAAAGGGGGGCAAAGACCGGAGTAGTGCCGTTCACGTCGGGGGGGGTGGGGAGTGGGGATGGGGACAGACGTTTCGAAGAGTTTCACGGGATTCACTGAAGTGCAGTGACTATTTTTTGGGGGGGAGAAAGGTTTCTCACGTAAATTCCAATTCAATTCCAGACAAGATTTGTTGTGCTCGGGTGTGTGAATGGACTTTTGTTTCTAAATTTTTTTTTTTTATTGGGTTTCTTTCCCCCAATTTTTGGACCAACAACAACAAGATTGCATTTATAGAGCGCCTTTCACGTCGGGAGGACGTCCCAAGGCGCTGGACAGTCAGGGATTTGTACCCGAGCTGGGGGGGGTGGGGTCAGGAGGGGCGGGGGGGTGGTTGGGATCAGGAGGGTGGGGGGGTTGGGGGCAGGGGGTAGGAGGGTGACCAAACATTGGGGAAAACTCCTCTTTACTGGCCCGCTGATGAACGAAAGTAGTCAGCGGACTGCACAGAAGAGCGAGGGGAGGCTTTGCAGTGTTACAGTACGGGAAGCTGAGTAGCGGACATGGCCACCTTGAACAAGTCAGCTCCAAGTTCTTTGTCTCTGATCAAATTGATTACCCGTCGGCCTCGCCAACAAAGACGATCTTTCACTGGCGGACTTCGATTGAAGTAACGTAGCGAATCGTGTAACAAATGGCTAATTCGTGCTGAAAGTTGCATCAAGTGGGAGATCACATCACGGCTCATTTTTTGTGAACAGCTGGGAATCGCTGCACAATGCACAAACCAATGAGCAGTCTGGATCAGCGTCAATCCAACAACCCCTTCCGCTCTCTGGAACATCTCCGTGAATTGCTCAGGGTTCTGCCTCGCCCCCTCCTCCCTCGCCTCCTTCGAGGCCTGTCTCGAGACCTTCCTCTATGACAGTGCCTCCGGTCATTTTCCCACATCCCTACCCCAGCCCCCGCTTTGCCCTTCACCTTTCTTGACTGCAACCCCCACCCCCCCCCCCCACCAACGAGATCAGGCGCAAACCCTTCACTGTCCAGCGCTTTGGGACGTCCTCCCGATGTGAAAAGAGCTGTACAAATGCAACGGCTTGCTTCCTGTTGTCGGTTCTGAAACCGTGGCATACACAGTTCACTACAGGCCCTGGTTTATCCGCAGGTATAATCGACAGCACCATCGGGGAGACGAGGCAAGTGGTGGCTGTGACCGGAGATGGCACAAACGACGGGCCGGCATTGAAGAAAGCAGATGTCGGCTTCGCTATGGTACGTCAATAAACCTTGATCCAACTTTCTCGCGCAGCTAGAATAGGAGGGCCCCGTGAACCGCAGATCACAGGGGCCAGAGAACCTCCGGATACTTGTGACGGAAATAGCAGACGGCAATCGTACCTCCTGCCCTTTGGTGCAATTGATACAATAATGCACTGGCGTTATCATCTTCTTTTGGAATGGACTTTACAACCATCTTTAATCTCCCATCCACTCACACGAGCGCTGATCTGTAGGTGCCTCTGCATTGAATCTGTTAGCGACCATCTTCTCCCCCCGCGATAAGGCGCGATATCGAATGCAAGGGTTATTATTATTATGATGATGTAGTGACGGTGTATCTTGTAGGCGAGCAAAATGAACTTGGCGGTTTTAAATTGAACGGCGAACGCTTTCCTTTGCAGCCCCTGAGTGGCTCGTTGGCTGCGGCCAAAAGGGGACTTCGGTTTTGTTAGGGACGTACGAAACGCTGGTCGAAAAGAGGACCAAGGTCCATCCAGTTCACCTTCCAGGCAGTCACTTGCACGTGTCCACTGCTATACCGGTATCCCCCAAAATATTATTTCCTTGAAAGAAATCTGCCTTTAATTTGAGTATTCGAAAGAATCGTGAAGTGTTCCTTTCCTGAGCACATTTGCCTCGTTGACATTTGCCCTGACTTAACGGATTGGGCTTCTGTTTCCTGCCGGATCCACTTGCGAAGTTAGCCGTTGCTTTTTCTTTCTCGCTTGTTCTCAAGGCCAATCGATCGTGACTGAAACCATCGATTTTTACCCTTCGTTCCCTCCTCCCTCGCTCCTGTTGCAAACACTGTCCCCGCCATTTAATTTACAGTCTCTCGATTTTTCTTTTATTTGCTTCTGCGTGACCTGAATCATTGAGTGACTGTGGTGAGACTATTGACTGAAGCTTGCTTTACCTCCGACGTTCCAGTAAACAGCGATTCTAATTATAAACGCTCTTCCGAAATGATATGCTGTTCGTTTACAATTCTCTGTAATTTGCTTTTAATCCCTGCTTCGGTTTTTTTCCCCCCCCTTTTGACTTTGGCTTCTGCTTTTGCTCCACATCTGTAGGCAAGTTTATAGTTTGCAACAGCTTTTTTCTCTCTCGCTCTCTCTCTCTCTCTCTCTCCACCCACCCCCCACGCCTCCACCATCAGTTTTTATCTATGCACAACAACTTGCACTTATATAGCGTCTTCCACGCAGGATAGCGTCTCAGAGCGCTTAATGGGGGAGAGGGGGCAAGGCGGAGGGATTGAGGGAGAGCGTTCCAGAGTTCAGTGTCGTAATGTAGTGTTACAAGTGAACACACGAAGAACCGCAGTAAACCTGCCTTTAGTGACTATAAACGCGAGTGTTCTAGATCATGATCCTGGACACTGTTGCGGTCAGGACTGGGGTCACTCTGTCATGTCTCTCCCTAAAATAACAACCGCTGTTACTCAATGCCCTTGTCCTTGGTTTTGGAAGCTCACCAATAATACAAGCAGTAGAGAATTTATTATAAAAATAATAATGATCCTAATCCTCGCCTTTGATACAGCGCCTTATCGCGTCGTTGAGACGTCTCAAAGCGCTCCTCTGGCTTTATTGTGAAGTGTAGTGACTGTGACTGTGTGTGTGAGTGTATTTAATTTGCACTTGAGCAGCGCCCCTCACATCAGGACATTGCAAAATGCTTGAGATCTTGAGCCCCATCAGGAGGTTTTCTTCAGAACACGCTGAAGTGTAACTTCACCTTGTATCTAGACCGTGTTGCATTAGTTGTCCCCCTCGCCCCCTTCCCCTCCCTCCATCCCCCACCGGCCAGTCTTTAAAACGTTCAGAGAAACCTGTGATGACGATAGACAGAATTATTTATAAATGGCTTTGAAGCAAAGTTGAAATCGATCCGGGCTTTTATGAAATAGTTTCCGCTTTTATATCGTTGACTTCCATTTCGTCCTTTGTCGCTGTGGTCCTCGTCACCAGGCAAAAGTTTGTCAGATGAACTTGAATTACCCGCAAGGAGTTTGGTGCGGAAGTCAGAAATGACCCCAACAGGTGTTGTGTGGTGGTGTTTGTTTAATTAATTAATTAATTAATTGATCGATTGATGCTAAATTAATGGCATTTAATATTATTATACTCCTTTTCGTTCTTCCCTCTTTTGCATCAAAGAGTCTCCCACCTGGCCTGATCACCCGACAGGTTGAAGATTAACCCAAGGGCGTTCAAGGAACTTTCCTGTTTAGTCTCGCCGGTTCTAGTGAAGATTGTTATGACTAGTTTCACTGTTCGCCTTCAATTTATCCCTAAATGTCCTTTTCAGACATCAGTGCCCAGTGAGATATGATCAGAATTCAGAATGCCTCTGCTTGGCTCGGAGATGCTCAGCGTGTGCGTGTGTGTGTGTGTCTCTCTCTTTCCCTCCCTTTTATGTTGCCTGTTCTTACTAGCGCCTGAGTGCCTCCGCTCTTCTGACTCCAGCATACACTCTCCTCCCCCCCCACCCCCCCAAACGCCCCCCACCCCCCCCCCCCATGATTGTCGGTCTGTTCAGGATTGTCCCTCAAGACCTCGACGTGCAATTCAAAAGGAAAACGAGAGTTTCTCTCGGTGGCATCACCAACAAACCCCACAAATAAAACAGGGTCATTCACTTTGTGGTTATTCTGGGATTTGCTCTCCCCAAATTGACTCCTGTTTGGCCTATAAATAGTCGCTATCCTTTACAGCAATTACCTGTGAAGCACTCGGAGTCGTTTTTGACCTTTGATGGGTGCTGTATCGAATGCGAGGATTATTTATGAAAGTGGCAAGTGCTTTGTAGTCCTCTTTATCCTGAGAGTAATGCCCTGCTAACCCGATCCAAAAGCCACGGATACCCGTCAGTCAGTCAGTCGCATTTGACATTGCGCAGAGATCCAGCACTCTGGGGTCATAAACGTTTTAATCGGAGTTTATGTGAATACTGTTTTAAAATGTCCAATCCCAAACCAAAAAAATTAATCCAGACAAACTCCTGCGAGGATTACAGACTAAATGTTTATTCAACAGCTTCGATAAACGGGGGAGTGGGGGGGGGGGCGACAGGAAAGAAACACATCATATGGTGATTTGCCTCCCAATAAAGATTATATGTGTATATATACATAATATATATAGGAAGCATTGAGCCAAAAAGGAATTCCTTGAAGATTTCGGCTTGTTTTAGCTGTCGGCAGAGCGAAGGTAGAAATAGTAGTGAAATGATTTATCGGTGTGGCTAATCGAGTTTCTTAACCGCTCAAAGCTCAGGCATCTCTGCTAACGAGATATCTAATTTCTTTCGAGATTCCGACATATGTTTGTAGTCTTGCAACGAGCACCAACTGGGAGTGGTGGGAAGGTTTTGGGGAGGGGGTGGACGGATGGGGCTTTCGGGACACAAACCAAGCTCGCTTCACTGGTCGAATACGAAGTTAAACCCCCCCCCCCCCAAGCTGTGTGTAATGTGTGTGTTGTGACTTCATTACGTGTTGCGCACAGTTTCTTGCGCAGGTCAAACCTCAAAAATAGCAACCAATTACACACTTATTACTCCTGGGTGCACACATCAGAGATGTTAAATACCCGAGGCTGATCAGTGAGCCAAACGATGTCCTAAAGGACTTTTGTCTTAACTGAAGATCACACCAGCGTTTCAGGATTTAGCTGGTATTTCCTAACCGGTCGTTGACCCCTTGTTGACGCCTGCCGTAACCCGCGTTTGTGTCGAGACATCTGAAAGCGCTTTACTGTGACTTTACTGTGAGGTGTAGTGACTGGGTATTTATGGGCAAATGTGACAGTGTGTGCAGCCGTGACCCACACACAGCAGTGACTCTTTTAACTATGGGTGTTCTCTCGAATTCAAGATCCTCATCCTCACCTACAAGGCCATTCACGGCCTCGCTCCCTCCTACCTCTCCAACCTACTATCCCCCTACTTACCCGCCCGTACCCTCCGTTCCTCTGGCTCCGGTCTGCTCCACATCCCCCGCCCCAACCGCCCTACCATCGGTGGCCGACCCTTCAGCCTCTCAGCCCCGAGGCTCTGGAACTCCATCCCCGGTGCCTTCGCCGCCTCCTCCCTTTCCTCCTTCAAGGCCGGTCTCAAGACCTTTCTCTTTGACCGTGCCTTCAGCTCCCCTCTCGACTTTCTACCCCCTCCTCGCTCCCTCCCTTCCCTCCCCTCACCCTGACCATTTCCCCACTGCTCAGGTCCTGACCCAACTGCCAAGCGCCTTGGGGCGTCCTCCCGACGTGAAAGGCACTCTATAAATGAAATCTTGTTGTTGTTGTCTCGACGTCGTACAGTCAGCCGTCTGTCTGTCTGAGGCGAGAGTACCGACAACTAAACCAGCCTGACACCTCTGCTGATGGATACGGTGCCTCGCAATGTCCTGTCGTCCACTATTTGTCCCCCCCACACGTATGTCTTCGGGTCGTTTGCTCTCAGGCTTCTGCACTCGACAGCACAGCCGCTCGAGAGGAGAGAGGAGAGGAAGGGAGCACTGTCGGATTAACCGGCTGAAGGGTTCTCTCCCCTCGCCTCGAGCCAACGGCGGTTCTGAGATGTGCAACTGAAAAGGTGTTAACGCATATTCTAAGCGTCTCCTGGAAAGTGCCGTGGTAACCGTGCGCAACTTCCAACGTGCTTGCTCGCGTTCACCGAGCGCCCTCCGCGCGGGACCGGTGCCTCGGCGCGCTTCACCGACGACGGGTCTACCGAACGCCTGGAGAAGAGAAGAGTTTTTAAACCGACGGCTTCTCTCCCAGCCGACGTAAACAGGCTGCGGAGCCCTACTGCTGCGGCAGCTCCCTACCCCACCCTGTGGTGCGCAGGGCACTGCAGCATTTCAGGGGATCACAACATTAATAACCACAGCTTCGGTGCAGCTCAAACAGGACTTGGTGCTGAGACCGGGTTGATCAGCTCTCGGTGGGCAGTGCCCTCTCGTGGTAATTGCACATATTGCCCTCGGTGTGCTTTCCGCTTCTGTTTGGACTTGACCAAGTGATGGGGACCGATTTTCCTTCTGAACTGTTTCTGGGAGGGAATTGGAACTTCTTAATCGGTACTTCACTTTGAGGTTTCCTTGAAAACCATCGCAGCACAGAAACGGGACATTTCCAAGTCTGTCCCGGTGTTTGTCTCTCGCCCCCGAGACACCATGTTGATACAGTGCTCCATTCCCATTCATTTATTCCCATTTACACCATCGCCTATTTATACTCTCCTCCACTCTTCAATATGCCTAACTTTGCCTCAGTCACCTCAGAGAACTTGCATGTAGCTACAGAAAGTCATTGATTAGGGACCGTTAAGTCTACTTACTGAGGTTCTACTGACTGAGGTTCCACCCGGCACACGCTCTGTTTCCCATAGAATTAAATAAGAATATCAAAAATATTATTATTTTGTTATGGCTCGGCGAGGGGCTATTCAAGCCAGTCCGAGCCGATGTTTACGCTCCACACGAGACTCAACCTCTCCTATTCCCTCTCCTTTACCCCCTCTATTCCCTTCTCCCTCGTGAATGCGTCAAATTTCCTCTTTAAACACTTTTTACTTCAACCACAGCTTCCAGTAGTGAGTCGCACGCACTTTTGAGTAAAAACGTTTCTCCTGGAACTCTCCGCTAAATCTGCCGTTGGCCGTCTTACATTTTACCTTCCGTTTACTGCCGGTTTTGATGCTTCCTATGATAGCAAATGTGAAGAACTACAGGCCACTCGTGGCAGTGTCTACAAGGAGCGAGTTCTGACCCTTGTCCTTGTCTTGACTTGTCTGTCTGTTTTGCAGGGGATCGCTGGGACCGACGTGGCGAAGGAGGCCTCGGATATTATCCTGACCGACGATAACTTCTCCAGCATCGTCAAGGCTGTGATGTGGGGCCGCAATGTGTATGACAGCATCTCTAAGTTCCTGCAGTTCCAGTTGACTGTAAACGTGGTAGCTGTCATTGTCGCTTTCACCGGTGCTTGCATCACCCAGGTAAGGAGTCGTCTCGTCCCTGCGTTCGTGTCCTTACGTGGCAGAGAGGTCCACTCGGTCCACTCAGCTCCTGTCAACCCTGCCAGCCAAAGCCCTGACAGGTTGGGTGGGTCCTTAGCTGGACGAGCAGCGGGAAAGTTTGCCCGCCAATGCTATCGATGGCAAGCTATGTGGTTTTAGCTGGTTAGACTCCAGGAGTTACCAGCAACACGCACTCTGGGGTCCCCCTAAGCCTCGGCTTCTGCCAACCTGCACCTAATAAATCACTTGGAACATAAGGAGATGGTTGTGAAGCTTGATTTTTGGAGGATTGGAGTTAAAATCTTGATCTGTGGTTTGAATAGAACTTGACTGAACGATCTCCATTTTATTCTTCTCTCTTGTCCCTTCTCCTCTTTCCTCCCCCGCACCCCCCCTCCTCCTCCACCCCTCCCTCCTCAAACTAGGACTCTCCGCTCAAAGCGGTTCAGATGCTGTGGGTAAACCTGATCATGGACACGTTCGCCTCCCTGGCTCTGGCCACCGAGCCCCCCACCGAGAGCCTGCTGCTCCGTCGGCCGTACGGCAGGAACAAGCCGCTGATCTCGAGGACCATGATGAAGAACATCCTCGGGCACGCGGTCTACCAGCTCACCATCATCTTCACGCTTCTCTTCGCAGGTCTGTGGAGCCCCGTCGGCGAGTCTTGTGCCCAGTTTCCAAACTCTGTTGGCAAGTCAGCCTGGAGACGAGGCAGTGTGCGCGAATCGGGTGGGGGGTGGGCGGGGGGAAACCATAGCTTCCCAGTGTCGTGTGCAAATACACATATTAAATTACAGTCAAGTAGTGAGTTACAGCATATTCTGTCAAGCGCTTTGAGACGTCTCAACGAGTTTCACGCTTAACCGCTTCACACGATTTACCGTAAAGTGTAGTGACTGTATTTGTAAGCGAATGAAATCATTCAGAAGGTAAAATTCACTCATGCTTAAGATTGTAATCTCTTCTTCCTTCTTCCATCCTTGTCCCCCCCACACGCCCCCACATCCCCCTCCTCCGAGTTTGGTTGTTATGAGTACATATAATTTAATGGTGGTTTCCTCTGATGTTTTATGGGAGTACAAATAACTGTTTTCCCAGGCGAGCTGCCCATATTTTGCACTCGTTTGTTGCCCTTATTTCAATCCAAGTTGTCATTGTTTTAAAATTTTTATGCACGGCTCTGCAATATTTATGTTGGCCTTTCGATTTGTGCGCATAACACTGTGTTCTCAGTAAATTAAACATGTTGAACGTTCCTGGTACAACACCGCCTTCAGGCAAAAGCAGTTGGCTAAAAATACTAATCATAATAATCCTCGCATTCGATACAACGCCCCATCACGTCCTTGAGGGCGTCTCAAAGCGCTTCGCGGGATACGCTGCAAAGATAATTGACTGCATTTTACGGGCGACACGCGGCAGCCGATTGCGCACGGGCAAATGGAGGGATCTCGGCAGAGGCGCGAGATGTTTCACCGCTAACCTTTGCCCAACTCGTCTTTCCAGGTGAGAGCATTTTCGACATAGACAGCGGTAGAGACGCACCCCTGCACTCTCCCCCCTCCGAGCACTACACCATCGTCTTCAACACCTTCGTCATGATGCAGCTGTTCAACGAGATCAACGCCCGCAAAATCCATGGCGAACGCAACGTGTTTGAAGGCATCTACAAGAACCCCATCTTTTGCAGCATCGTCATTGGGACTTTCTTAATTCAGGTGTGTGTGTGTGGGGGGGGCGGAAGGGGGACACGTAATATAGGGAACATAGGAACCGCAGGAGGCCATTCAGCCCCTCGAGCCTGTCCCACCATTCTATAAGATTATGGGTGATCTGTACCTCAGCTCCAATTACCCCGGCTTTCCTTGTCCCTTATCCCTTGATCCCCCGACCAAACAAACATCTACCCACCTTGGCCTTGAAAATGTGAATGGATCCAGACATAATCCACAGCCCTTTTGAGGAGGGGGAGAGTTCTGGATTTGCACTATCCTTTGGGTGAAAAACTGGCTCCTGATTTCACTCCTAAATGGCTTGGCTCTAATTTTAAGATTATGCCCCTTCCCTTGTTCTTGTTTTTGGGGGGGAGGGGAGGTAGGGGGGTGATGGGTTCGGGGCGGGGGGTTCAAAAAACAATTTTTTTTAATGTAACCAGCAAAAAACACACAATTGAAGCTTGCCATTGGCAGCGAGCGTATCCAGCTAAGACCCGCACCCTACCTTTTGGGGCTTTGGGTCGCAGGATTAATTTAACAGGAGCTGAGGAGAAATCCCTGAAATCCCCCGATAGTAACTGCTATACTGTAAAGCGCCTTTAGAGAAATACTCGCACGACACAAAGCTGTTAACATCTGTTCGTAGAGTATTGTTGGCTTGAAATTTTAATGACCAGCACCATCTCGGTGTCTGCGAAGCAAGGAGGCATCAATTGTTCTGCATTCTAATGTTAACTAAACAGACGTCAGGGTCAAGTTTCAGCCGCGGATTCTATTCACAGTTAATTTACTTGTTGTGGTGACCTGGATTTTAATAGACTGGGCTGGCTGGATGAATGACTGACTGACTGACGCAAGTTTTTTGACGGACTACATTTAAGTTGGTCAAATTGAACCGGAGGCCATGATAGTTTGGTGCGTGCCAGAGAAAGAAATACAAGGATTATTATCAAAGGAAATAGTTTGGTTTAAACGTTTATAAGGCGCATTAAAAACTGATTTTTGACACGCTGGGATTTGACAAGTGTGTGTGGGTCAAGTGTTATAATCTCCCTGTTTACGGACAGTAATCTAGTACTGAGATAGGGGTTAAAAAAAAATCCACGCGGTAGAACTTAACTAAACTTGCACCTGTACTTTTAAGGGTGCGATTTCAGATAAATGGTCGTGCACAAATATAACGTTCGACATTGGAATAAAGTTGCCGTGTGTCGTCCCCCCCCAAAAAAATAGAAGTTATTATAACTCTTGCCTCATGTCTGCAGATCGTCATTGTGGAGTTTGGAGGGAAGCCGTTTAGTTGCTCCGGACTGTCTCTTACCCACTGGCTCTGGTGTGTCTTCATTGGGGTGGGAGAACTTCTCTGGGGCCAGGTAAGCCTCTGTCTGTTCATTGTCTCCTCCGCGGCTGTAAGGCACTCGACAAGCGCGTGTGGGTCAAATGGCCCGGTTCATGATCTGCAGGAAACTCTCGCATTCCTGTTCAAGTTGAAGACGCAGCAGCCCCCGGTTCTTAATCTCCCAACTTTTTGGAGGTCAATAGGACTGTGGGTCTGGTTAGCGCGCGTGTGTGGTGAGGGGGCGGTGGGTGGCTGCCTTGGGTGTTAGGACGACCTCCTAAATGTTGCTGAAATGTTCAAGTGAAGCAAACTGTGAATAACGCTCCCGGATTGCCTCCTCAGTTCATTTCCTCGGTTCCAACGAGCCGGCTGAAGTTCCTGAAGGAAGCCGGGCACGGAACAACTAAGGACGACATCCCCGAGGCGGAGTTCATGGAGGACATCGACGAAATCGACCACGCGGAGATGGAGCTGCGACGAGGGCAGATCCTCTGGTTCAGAGGTCTGAATAGAATCCAGACTCAGGTATGCTGACAATCCCACAGCCCTCCACAGCCACGGATGTCGAAAGAGCTGGACGAACTAGATCTACAAAGCTCGCCGTTGCTACTCCTCCTTCTTCCAAATGTCTTCAAAAAAAAATATATATATATATACCTAAACTGCCCCCCTGGTCTAGGTAACGTGCAGCACTGGTAGAGTTGTACCATCTTTCTTAGTTGCGTCCACGATTTTGTGTTGACCTAGTCTGAAAATAACCTTCTGCTTCAGGAATTCTTCTATTTTTCTCTCTTGAACTGACTGTCCTACACATTTCATAGTGCCTTTCCCCGCTCCCTCTAACCCCCTCCACCCCACCTTCACCACCCTCTTTATTGTTGTTGTGGGGTGCTTGATCTCGTCCATTGAAACCAGGTCGTTTTAAGAAAAAAACTTTTTCCTGGCTCTCTCTTTCTCTCTCTCTGTGATTTCTGTTTCCTTCTCTTGCATGCTCTCATTCGTTGTCTTACACGAGTGTGGACGTGTGTATGGTTCCCTCCTTCCATCCCACCCACCCACCCACCCACCCTCCCTCCCTCCCTCTCTCTCTCTCTCTCTCGTTTTTCTCTCGCTCTCTCATCAATGTGGAGCAAAGCTGTCTTACTCTCTGATTCTTTGCAGATGGGCGTAGTGAACACATTCCAGGGCGGACCTTCCCTGCAGGGAGCGCTGAGGCGACAGCCCTCCATAGTCAGCCAGCACCACGATGTAAAAACTCTTTCTACCCCAACACATGTAGTGCTTTCTACTGGCAATACTACTCCTACTACTCCTGCTACTACTGCTGTGGGGCGTGAGTGACGGTTTCTTAAAAACTGCATGAAATTAATTCATCTCCGTCCCATGCACTTATATAACTTTACTATCCTTTTTTATCCCCCCTTTTTAGTTTCCTGAATGTTCTCTCATCTCAGCCTGTTTTTGTTCTGTACTTTTTTTTATTTCGAAGGTTGCTGCATCTAAATGTTTTCTTTTTCTCACAGGAATGACGTGTTGTTTTTTTTCCAGGCGATTCCTAAACACAAAAAAAAAGGTGCAGTTTTTTGTTAAAAAAAAACATAAAACAAAACCAAAAAACCAAACAAACCGCTTGCAGGGTGCAACGACTATTGTCCATTTTAAAACTGTTCTCTCGGACCAATAATCTTTTCAGTTTTACTTGATCGCTCGCTGGCGGATAAACCAAATGTAATTCAGATGCGTGAATCAGATTGAGGCAAATGTAACGTGACCTTTTTTCCCCCCCCACCACCCCCCCCCCCCCGACTGTTTTACTGCAATAGTTCTGAAAGACAGAGGTCATTTGACTATTTGAGTTTGACTCGGTGGCTGTACCATTGTCAGCCTTGCTAAATACCTGAAGAGATTTCGGACACGTAATCATATTGCGTAGAGGTGGTGGGTTGCAGTTATCAGCTTCACGCCGTTAGATCGTGACCGCTTTATCTTAACTGTGGTTCTAGGTGAGTGGTGTATTTTTGACCACTGATCAGATCAATAGAGATTAATAATTGATTTGAGTTGGGCATCAGTTTTGGAAATGGAAGTGCGCTGTAGAAGGTCCTTCTAAAATGACTGGATCAATGAACCCGTTGATCCTAGTTCACCTGTACTGCCATCCCCACTTTCATTCTGTATCTTATGCAGTTTGACCCAGGCGTTGGTTCACAATTCCCTGCTGCCAGCAGTGGAGGCAGCAACAACAAACAAATGACATTTGTATGAGGACGTCCCAAGGAGCTGAAAGCATAATTGCGGTTGTTGTGATTTTGTCCATGTGCATCTTAAGGACTAGCAAATTTATATGGGGGGTGGGGGGGATCGGGGGGAAATGAAAGGCAGGAAAGAAAAACCTTCCACAGTACAGCGCGCCATATGACCCCGCAGGGCTGACACAATGCAGAGCTCTTGACATGACGTTTTCTCTCCGTAGTGTGTTGTAGTTGTACGTAGTCTCTGAACACTAATCCAACTTCGTTCTTGTGAAGGGCTTAGCAAATCAGAGGTTGGATCTGGATCCATTCTACCGTGTTGTGGTTGTGCCTTTTTTTTTACCTCTTTACTTTTTACACTGGAATCAATTCAGACCGCTAATTAAACTCTTCGTTCCAGGAAATAAAAAGTACTGTGACCGCCCCCCCCATCCCCCTTACATCTCTATAGAATTATTATCCCTTGCAAAGTCCCATTTTCCTGTGTCTGAATAGTGTTGACTTGCTGCCTTTATTATAGTGACATCCCCAAAAAGACCCCGCCTCTCCCACTCCCCTTAAACAAACTTTGTATTGCTCTGTCGATAATCAATGCATATGATATGTTGATTGAAATTTTTTTCAAATAATCTTTGCACCTCTGGTACGCCCAATAGAATAGACCCTTAATCCAAGCTTGAGTCTGCGGTGTAAACGCTTGTGTGCAAAACCAAGAGGTTACAGGTGTTTGGATTGCAGTGAGCTTCACTGCATGACTTGAGGGGCTGTACAGTAACCTTTCTGGTAGAACTCTTGAGCCTCTCGCCAACAAGCGCCCGACGCTGACGCAGGAAGCATTGGGACTTCAAAGGCATAAATAACGTTCGGACCATGTATTGATTGGCACACATTCTTTACGTCATAAAGCTGGACTTTAGTAAGTAAGTGTGGACAACTTTTTCTGGTGGAAGTGATTTTTGGGGGATTGATGCTGATCAATGCATTTTGCAGAACCAAATGAAATTTGTTTCATGGCCACACGCAGGCCGCAACTATCTTAAATGGTGTTTATTATAGAGGTCGTTCTACAGGTAAGGTTCATTGTGGAGAATGAGAAGCAGCACTGGATACAGTGAAGTGCCTTTCTTGAGGATGAAGTATAATAGACAAAATAGACAATATCTGCATTGCTGGAACCTCGTGCAAAACCTGTTAACGTGGGAGTTGACTGTTGCCATTTTCAGTTGTTTTGCCTTTTAACACAAAAGTGTGTGGGGGGGGGGGACTCACTCTTCAGTATCTCGCAAGTAATTCAATGATACTGTTGTACAAATGCAGCCACCGTCTTCCTAATCGGTGACCTTTAATTACTGGAAGCCTGGCTCTTTCCAGGTAAACAGCTTTCCTTTGCAGCAGAAGACGTGTCTGTTCGTGAAGGTTTTTTTGTTGTCTTTTAGCTACTGTGTGTGTAGTTGTTTTTCTGTGGAAGACGTTCCTTGTTGGGTTTTTATATCACCTGCTTTTAAGCAGCCAGCATTGCTTTGGGGGCTGTTGTGTTGTGTGGATTTTCGAAGGGATGATAGTTCTTACCTTTTGTTTGCCCTCTTCCATGATCTTAAGGTGAAGGAGTCAATGCAGTAGGTCAGCAATTAGAAGGACGGTTCTTAGCAATGACAAGAAGCACCAACACATTTCCAAGGTGGGCTGGGGCAGGAGAGATTGAAGATGAGATTAATTGGTGATTCATCTCATGGCTGTGTGTGTGTGGGCGACTTTATTTGATCATTTAGGCTGCTCGGCTTTGAAGCAGTCAAACTGCAAGATAGAAACTCTGCCTGAGAGTGTTTTCTGGATTTGAAGATCCTCTATTGAAATCTCGAGTGATTGGAATTCTAAAGCAATGTTGAATCTCTGCGATTTCTTTTTGTGAATTGTTTTTTTTTTCCATTTGAAGTCATCCTTATTGTGTGAACTTCACAGGCTTATTTTAGTGTGACAATAAGTCCAATTTGAACGAGGCCAACTTGAGTGTTCTGGGGCGTTTAAGGGGGTTTCCACCATAAGATTTTCTGGGTCAGAAGATATCCACGTTCTAGTGATGTCCATAAGCATTTGCTGTAACCAGAATAATTAGCAATTCGGTAAGAGCTTGTTTTATACAGTGCAATGCAGTTTATATTTATATAGCTTCTTTCACATCGGGAGATAATAATAATCCCTGCATTTGATATAGCACCTTATCACGTCATTAAGGTCATCCCAAAGCAAGTATTGATTAATACAATGGCTTTGAGTTCATCTAGGGTAGCATTGATGCAATATTGATGCAATACCAGGGTTAAAATTAGGTTTGGGAAGAGGGATTAGTTTCCACAGAAAAGGGAAAGTCAGATTGTCTTTCCTTTGGAGAAATGTTAACCTGAGTGTCTGGGGTGAGGCATCAGTAAGGATTTCACAATAATAGGCTGAATCTGCTTGAAATCCTTGTCATATAGACACAGTTGTTCTGAAAACAAGTAAAACAAATTGACTAAAGGCATAGCTGATGACTGGCTGTAAAAGTGCATTAGCAGATCAATAATTATCATTCAAGGCATATGTACTAATGCCATATGGGGACAGATTACTAATGGTCCACTATTGTCATAAATTAGACTTTGCTCCTGGGATTTGCTCCATTTGTGGTTTTATTACAATGTACCATTGTCCTGTCCGGCTCTGAGCAGTGGGTTAATTAACCAATGGCCAAACTCATTGTGCTGTATTGGCTTCTTTCACTTGCTGATATCAATCGTTTATAGAAGACAGGGGAAATCGGGATTGAGGTTAGAGTAAAATCTCAGATTCTATTCTAACTGGGAGGTCAAACCTGCAACATTCTGGTCAGAATTCAATACTAAGGAGCTAATACCAGCCACTGTTGGATCGATGGGCTGAAAGGGCTCCTTGCTTCAACCTTAAAATTATGTGACTTCTGTCAACATCTTTTAATTCTGGTTACACAGCTTTGATTTCAACGTAAGGAAAAAAAGCAGAAGTGTTTTTCCATGATGTCCAGTTGGAATGTTTTTGCCATTTCTGTGCCTTGATAAGTGAATGTACCATAGAGCTAATCTACGCCTTAGTTGGAAAATGAGCAGTGGGACCAATAATTATTCTCCATTAAATCCTATTGTATCTAGAACCTCTATTTTAAAATGTTTTCCCCTAACAGATGGGGACTGAAGCATCAACATTGCAGCACAATTAATGGGTATTAAAAGTCAGATATCCCAAATACAATGACACTCAGCACTACGTGCGATAATCCTGTGCTCCTGCCACTCTCACTCCCGCACTCACCTTGTCTCATTTGGCTTGAGTTTGCGTTGGAACGGATGCAGCTGGCAATTCCCCCATCACTGAGAGGGAATTTGGCCGGTGCTGACTCATGAATTTAGATGAGGGGGTTTTTTTGCTTCAAGGTATCAAAGGTGACAACCAATTGACATAAACATCCTGTGATCGAAATGTTGAAAGTCGTTTAAAAGTGCATTTCTTCCTAATCCACCGATGCTTAGTTTGCAGAATTTTACATTAGTCTGATCCAGGTTCTTGGCACAATGTACTGAAAGGAGAAAGCTTCTGAAAGCGTCAAAGCCAATGTGTCATTGGTGCATGATGAACCACGCTGCACTTTGTTGTATGGGATGACGTCTCCGGGTGAAACCAGGTTTGCTTTTGTATAGCAAGCTTGCAGCCATTGGCCTTCCTTTAAAGGTTCCACCGAATGGAGTATTGGGCCTTGTTCTCAAATGTTTCCAGATGTTGTCTTTTATCTGTTGCACTGCATGTCTGTGTTTGCTGATTGTGAGCTTGTTTACCATGGTGTTCAGCTTGTCCTGCTCTTACCGGGAAAAAACATTACCCCACCATTCCAAAAAGTGATTTCAAACGCTGGCATGAGGAAAGATAATGGTTGTTATGCATCGTGATTCCATTGTGCTACTAGTTCCCTTGTATACTTTGAATAGGTAGACTATATTCATTTGGTTTTCTTTCTACTTACAATTTATATTTAAACTGCAAAGTCAACTTTAGCCTTTTTTTCTGTTGCGTTTTGGTTCAGTAGAGTAACTTTGCCCTTATTCCAGTGTTCACATCTCTGGGATAGTAACTAGGATTTTTTGTGGGGAGGGAAGAGAAACGAATCTAACCCACTTTATTGTAGCTCAGTCTGGTTATTATAGAATCCAAACACTTTGTACTCAGGTTTGTGCCTGAATGCTGCCAGTTTAATCCCCTACATTTCCTGGGTTAACATTTACTGCTATTGTGTGGCAGCAACACACTACTCTATTTAATCAGTTGATCCTCTCTGCTGGCTGCTCAGGATCTGAATTTAATCTGTAAATATATCTAACCGTGGAAGTAAATCCCGTCAATAATATCAATGGTAAGACAACTGTTCGACGACCCAACGTCATCGTTAAACATGGTAATGTTGACTCCATTACTCCCAGCTGACCAGATTTAATGTCCACTGGGGAAGGTGTCTAGACCAAACTCTGTTCTTTTTCCTGAAAGGAGAACAGATCACTTAGTTACCTTCACCTCTTGATGTCTGGCTCCTGAATGCTAATAGCTAGAAGTAGGATATGGGGAGAACTTCCTGATGTGAATAGCTGAGACCTTTATAGTCATGGCCTTCATTTGCCTCCCCTCCCCATACCCCCACACCCACCCGACCTTCTTTCACCAATCTTAACACTTTGGGGGATATTTTACACTTCAAATTTATCTCGGTTTTTGTTTTGTGTTCAGTTCAGTTGATGCATTTGCTATTTAGGAGCTCCTTTTTAATCCCTAGATTTTTTACTCTCAAATTGGGTTTTGCAACAGCTATTTTGTCTCTGTAGCGACTCATCCAGAGGTTCCCACCTTCCTGTCGATGTTGGGAATATTACCTCGGAATCTATTGTGAAACGAGTCATTTTTTTTAATTAAAAAAAAACTTGTCAGGCTATTTTAAGTAGTCTCCATAATAAACATAGGAAAGTCGATTCTTTCTTTGAACATTTTTATGTTGAATGACTAATTTAATTTTTCTCCATTCATCACCAGTTACTTTTTCCGGTACATCTTGTCTTTTTTTTTACAGCTTCCACTGCACACAGTCAGTCCTGACCACTTAACATAAGCAACATGTGTGATGGCCATTTTCTCACAGCACAGTGTGCCAGAAACAGACCCGTTGGGTTGGTTGTTGACCTGAGATCAGATCGCTTTCTAACTTTTGTTTTCTTCTTTGTTGGCCCCGTCTCTCCCTCAGATCAAAGTGGTGAATGCGTTCCGTAGTTCCCTGTATGAAGGGATAGAGAAACCGGAATCTCGAAGCTCCATCCACAATTTCATGACCCACCCAGAATTCGGAATGGAAGACGATGAGCGTCGGATCCCGCTCATCGACGAGACTGATGTAGAAATCAATGGACTCTCCAACCGTGTTGGTCCAAGCCCACCACATTCACCGAACAAGAATAACAATGCAGTTGACAGTGGAATTAACCTCCCCATCACGGACCCTAGCAAGTCTGCCTCGTCTGCTCCAGGAAGCCCCCTACACAGTCTGGAGACTTCAGTCTGACTGACCCCCCTGAGCTCCTACCTTTGAACTTGCAACTTTTCACATTGTATTTCCTCTTTTTGTGCAGGAAGCAATTAAAAATGTGTATTTTAGTTGGCAAATTGATAGGAAATCCTCAGATCCTAAAGCATTTTATGTAGATTCGGAGGGAAAGGGGGGGGGGGGGTGGGGGGGGGGAGGGAGGGAAGGTGTTGTTGTTCCTGGCACTATGCCGTTTAAACATGAAATGCCATCTGAGGTTTAAAAGCAGACCAACCTATCAAGCCAAAGGAATGTACAGAACAGAGAATGGTTAGTGGATTCAAGTCGTTTGAATGCACCAGCACTTTGCAATTTACAAGACTCCAGTATATGGTCACTTATTCTCTGTTGCTCTTTTTTTCTTGTTTTCGATGACTGGAAATGAGTCCTGAAGCCATGTTGAGGAGAGGGGTAAAATCCCAAGGACAAGTTGGATAAGCTTTACATTTTGACCAGTCATTTTTTTTTTTGGTTTGGGTACCCAACTACTAAATGGCTGACTACCTCCCCAGCTTTTCACGGAAGTAAACAGAAAGCAAAGTCTTGTAAATTTCAATGTGCAAGTGGTGCGTGCACCTGGCATTCAAACATGATTTATCTGCTGGCGAGGTTCGACGCAAGTCTGAGAGTGACAGTAAGCCAGTGACGTTATTCTGACCTACAGCCCCAACTGTTGATTAAAAAAAACAAGTTAGTGTCTTTCCAAAGCAGTCTTCAGATCAATGATTTTCTATATTAGGGCAAATTGTTAAGTGTTTTTTTTTGTTAGGGGACGGGGAAAGAGAGAGGGGATGTTTGTCTCCTTGTGATTCCTGTTGGCCTCCTGGCTTATAGCTTCCTATTGAAATGAAGAAAAAAAAATCAAATCTGCTGATATTCTGTTGGTTGTAGCATCAAAACCGTGTTCTGTCTTCTGGCAAGGTGCCTGGCTGGATTGAAGGCTTAATGAGCCAGTCAGCAATATAATTATTCTGTTCTAGCCTACAACCCATTTGCTGGAAGTTGCTCGGATGCTTTCAAACAATCCAGGTCAGCAAACTTCCAAATTCTCTTTTTGAAATTGTATGTTTACTAAATAAGAGGGAATGATTACCCATGGCTAAGAATATAGTTTTGAGGAATACATTTCAGGCAGTTTATTTGCTACTTTCTCGTTGATACAGGATGTAATTTCGTAGCAGCTGTCCAATAGTAGCAGTATTTTGGGGCAATCAATGTGATGCAAATACACAATTAAACTGGAATAAAAGGATACCAGGTTAGGTTTCTAACTCATAGTGACAGAGTGAGGAGAGCCTAATGGAATATTATGTACGATCATTTAAATGTTTTGAAGACTTGTGTAGGAAGCTTTTTTCCTGAACAACAGTTATATTACCACATCAGGTTTATTCGTCCAAGTACACATCCTAGTAATGATACAAGGTTGAGTCTCACTTCACCCCCTTGATCTCTACATGCCTGTGCATAGATATGAACACAATACTTCCGGAAATAGCCGGAATTATGCCCATGCATTGATGTCTTAATTCAGTGAAATCAATGATATTTTGCCAGAATGTAGCATTCCGTGATTAAAATGCAAGGAGAAAAAAAGTAAGGCTTAGTAAAACCAGCACAAGCTATCAACTGTTCAGTGAGCAAAGTCAGCTTTAACCGAGTTTATTATAGGACTGAAGAGTTGGTGAATGCTGCAAAACTTGTGCTGCAGATTATTTTGAGTACTGCACGGCAGAATTGGATAAGGGAGAAATTATCAATCTGTACACACCAATGGTTTGATAGTGTGGAATTTTATATTTGATGGTATCGGGTTTAGTTCTGTGTCACCTTTGATTTATGTGGACTCTGGGCTTTCTGAGCATTTGTCAACTAAAATATTGCCATGAAAAGCTTACCATGTGATAACATCTGAAACAATAAAAGTGCAATATTGCATAAGTCAGTATAGCTGATCCTTTTGCCAATTGAAATTTTGGGGACATTGGCAAATATTGAATTACCCAAATTTGCAGTATCTCTTTTGTTAGCGTAAATATGCTGTGTATTTTCTTTTTTTAAAAAAAATGACACATGCTAAATGGGTACTCTGATTTCCACTCACCTGGTTTAATGCATATTTTCACTGTACTGAGAGAAGATGGCTGCAAAATGTATTTCTAAAGGCAGCTGTAATCTTTAGAACCTAGTGTAAAGGAAAAGATGACTGTAGTAACGCAGAGAATGCTTATGCAAAATAGGAATCTTGTAATTTATCTTTGGTCATAAAATTATATTCCACAGACCAACCAAAAAAAAAGGGATACTACAGGTTGAAAAGAGCATAATGTTTAGTTTACAAAGAATATGGCTGCCCAGGTTTTCCTTATGACCGACAAAAGAAGGAAATGCAAGATTTTTTTTTAATCTCTATGCACTAAATGTACTTTTGGTTTAATTTGTATGTTGTACGTTAGAGTAGTTGACACTAGTAGCCAAACTGAAATCTTTTTTTTCTTTCTCTGAGGGCACCTTGCTGGCAAAGTGGTAAGACCAGTTGTGTTGCATGATTTGCAGGTTTTTGGGGTCTGGACAGGTGAAAAGTCCACACTATAAGTTTGTATGATATTGTCCCAAAAGTCCTCTGGAATTCACTAGTGTTGAAAATGGACAGTTCTGCCTTGACAGGAAATTTCATTTGCACCAAAAAGCTTAATGCACCTCTGTATGCACACCTGGGAATTGCATAGTAAGAGAATTTCTGAAACGGAACCAAGATGATAAGATGAGGGAAACGGATCGTCTCTAGGCAAACTAAGGTAACGAGCACATGCCTACTTTCTAATTGAACCTTACCAACAAAATCAAAGGCTTTTGTCTCCAGGCATTTTATCCTGCAGTCAGGGGTAGTTTCTTGAAACTATGGCTGAATTGAAGTTTTTTTTCCCCCCCCCCCATTAATTAGAAGTTGCTTTTATAAAACATGCCCTTATTTTTGTGTGAACACACTCACTTCAGCATGTAGCCTCCCCATCTCATTGTATAAATTGTGGCTTTCCAGTGCACTCTTTCCCTCCATCCAGTCAGCACCTTTGGGCCTGACGCATGTTGGCTGCAGATTGCAGGTGCGTAAAGCATCTTTCCTGGTCACTCAGTAACTCTGTGAAAGAATCTCTTTCTTTTAAACCTGTAACTTTATAGTAATCCGAAGTAATATCTCAATCTAGAGCTGAGTGTCTGTCGACAACAGGATGGTTTATTTCCTTCCAATACTCTCTCTTGCCTTTCAGTCACAGAATTTGACAGTCTACCATTTCAGAGAAATTGGAAGAAAACCATATTTCCCCAGTGGTAATATCTGTATCAGACTAAAGGTAGCGCATGTTGAATTTTCTGGAAACACGATTACTTAAAAGAGAATCTCTCAAGCGAACATTCATTATCCAAGCTCCAAAGGGCTGTAATCTCTTTCAGAGGTGTACATGTTTATTGTGGCCCTAGTGAAAATTAATGCTGAACTGTGAGGCCACTGCCATGAGCTTCATCTCAGAACCATTAATGTCATTGCATTAGAATTAATGCACCCAAACCATTCCCTTCTCCCTTACCCCCTCCACCCCCCCCTCAAAATTGGCTTGACTCTCGTACTCGAGGTGCATCAACCATTCTGTGTTATGGGATTCTAGTATAATAAGTCAACCAACAAATTATTGTAAAGATTGTATGGGAAGCATGCTTCATTTTCACATTAAAATGAAACTTGTGTACAATAAGTTTAAAGCCTAATTTATCATTGTTGTGCTCTTGGGCTGGAACACTGAACCTGATTAGCAGCTCTTAATTTGTGGAAGAATTTAAGTGATGTAAGTGGCAAATGGTCTTCAGGGACTGAACAGCGTAGTAAGGCAATAGCACAGACTATCCCCATGCAGGGTGTAAAAGGTTTCTCAATTTGACGGGAACATTGAAGGTTTAATAATACTGATCAATTGATAGGCAATAAGGATAACTTGCTCACATGGCCTTTAGCTGCACCTTCTCGGCCCATGGCTTTTGGCATTGTAACTACAATTAAAATAGCCAATTGTTTGCTACTAGATTCCCCCCTCCCAACAGTGTCAGTATATTACGCCATTTGTGTTTGTTCACATTGAAGTAACAATGAACCTGGAAAATCCTGGGCAAAGATGGTAAAGGGAAAATCCTAGATGGAAATTCTCATGAAAAAATGTTGCCAGACGTCTGGGAGACTAATTGTAATTCACATTGAAAGATCATGTGCGTCACTATCACGTTCAAAATAGCAAGACTCCTGCGCCTGCCTGAAGTAGTGCATCCGAGAGGAGCCTTCGGATAAGTTTGATTGCCAACTAAAACTTGTTTGGAAGTCGGGGTGGGTGGAGTGAAAAAACGCTGACTTAAGAGATAATGCACTTGTCACTATATAGCTAGGGCAGATCTTATAAGGCCAACACTCTTGAGATTAAATTTGACCAACTGCTAAAAAGTTCAAACTCTATTATCTGACAATGTTTTAGTTGTGCAAAGAAGTTGCATAAAAATCACAAGAAGGTAAGTTGCTCATTTTTTAATTCTCCCCCCTCCCTCTCCTCTTTCCTCGCTCCCCACCTCCCCTTCCTACCCAACCCTTTCCAAGTTTTTTCTCCAATTTCCCAGTGCAGCTACTGGTTTATGTAAGTGAAAATCTCAGTACTGTCATTGTATTAGCTGGTCAATTTGTTTTAAACATCTTGTGATTGAAATCTATCCAAGTTTGACAACAATGATCCAAGTTTCCTTCATGTAGTACCTTAACTAACAGTTAAACTGCTGCTGAAGAGTGGGAAACATTGTCCATTTTAAATCTATTCAACTTATTTTCAATATATAAATGCAGTAATTTACTGGGAAGTGACCCAGTTTGTCTGTCCACGGTATATAAAGTGTGTTTGGAGGGTGATGGTTTTCTTAGAATCCGAGGCTGCTCTAATGTGTCCTGATCTCTACAATGTTGACTTTCGCTTCCAGAGACAGCAGTTTAAATGGATTTTCTACATCTCCTTTGCAGCCCAATGTCCAAGCTGTTCGGTGACTAGAAGATAATGATCCTCAGTGACATCAGAAGTTGTCATCACAGTGAATGACAACAGCCAAGCAAAGAGTAGAGAATAGTTAAGAGGGCCGTAATAATGTGGTTTCTTTCAATTTCTGTTGGTAATGAAGTATTGCTATAAAGACCTGTACAGTATTTTGTTGAACACTAAATGATGTGTGTTAATAGAAAAAAATAATTTTAAGTCTGAGCAAAATTATCCTGTCCCCTCCCCCCAAATTCCTCAGGCTCACTGCTTTATCATGTCAACTGAGTGAAAATAGGATGTTTGTATTGCCGTGGGTTTTATGATTTCTACATAGGTCAGAAAACAAACAGATGTTACATCTTAAAATTGTATATAGAGGAAACCACAGTTCCCAAGATCAACTGGTCATTACAAGGTTAGAAAGGCAACGTAATGTGAGTACATCTTTTCATTTTCCAAAGGTGTATCCTTATGGTATGCAACCCAAAAAGTACATACCGGTTGGGACTGAATGGCTGTAATGTTTTGTGTAATTCAATAACCCATATGAATACTGGTTGTTTCTCTGCCTGCCTGCGATAGCAAATGGAAGCTGTCAGGTGGACAGTGATCAAACTAGAAAGACAGAAGGGAAGCAGTTTATAATTATCTTTACCCTAAGCGGATTTTTTTTGTACAGTGTATCTCTACCTTGGATGTTATCTGTATGGATTAGCTTTTTTCATCCTGTAACTTTGCGGTCAATCATGGGCACACTAATTGCAACAGGAAACTAAAATAATAAATTAACCTTAGGGAACAAATCTGTAATTGATTGGTGCCCCTCGATTGTAACTCTAGAAAATGTTAAATGTAATTCTCAATCTTGTCTAATCCTATATAAGATTTCAGTAAATAAGGTCAAAAGTAGGACACTAAACTCTTAAATTTAGATTGACATTTCATTCAGGGTACAAGTTGGTGACTTTTACCCTCACCATATTCAAACTCAATTATTTGCAGCTGATTGATATCCTTGCAGTCTGGTCTGGTTTTAAACGAAGGAATCATAACAACAATCTATGGGGGAAGAGAGTCAAAATTCTGAAGTGGCAACAGGATATATAAATGGTTGTATCACAGTGCATATAGTATTTGTAACCAACTATCACTTACTGGTGGTCAAACTTTCAGTTAACATTTGTGATACTTTTGCTACAATAATAAAATTATCCTAATTTAAATTTTTTGGTCAACATTGCTTTTCTGGATAAAGTTTACATTTTTATGTATTTTCTGTCCTTTGCTTAATTTAAAAATGAGCATCACTTTTTTTAAAATTAAAAATGGCTAAGTTATTGAATATGTACGGTGCTCTGGCCTAAGGCTATATATCTTGTTCAATACACGTTAAAATAGCACAGCTTCGCTAACCTATGCCTTGAAAAATGGTATACTTAATGCTGTTCTTGCATGTGTTTATATGTGTATTTTGTGAAGCAAAGTGCTGGTGAGTGCAATGTCCACACACATTGCTAAAAACTGATCTTGAGTTTCCTTCCTACCTCAGTTACATAGGAACTGAGGGGAATTAAGCGGTTAGATCTGCCTCAAGTTTACTACTTTCAACAAAAACATTCGTTAAGTGTATTGAATAAATACAACAGATCTGTTTTAATGTGGGAACATTCAAGCAGTCGTTTCACACAACTTTTAACTGCAACTGAAAACCATAAGCTCAGTTGACGGTGTTATACAAACCAGTGGCACTGGGTAGGGGGCTGTCAAATTGCTTAAGCAAATGTTTTTCTTCAAAAAAAGTTTTGATCTAAGTGACTCCATCATTCGATAATGAAAGTAAACTTTTATATATAAAAAAGCAGGCTTATGAGGTAAATAAGTAACTAGCATAATGCACACTGGTATTTTTCGAAGGAAGAGTAAAAAAAGTTTAGAAAATGATGTGGTGTGCATGACTTACTGTGGTGGAGCAGAGCAATACGTACCCTGGCCACGATAGTTCAGCTTGGGAGTGTTGATGCTGTAGCTTGCATTTTGATATTCTCATTACCAGTGACATAACCTATAAAATGTTCTGCATGTATTTATATGGTTCTTGTGTTGGAATGAATAGTCAAAATAGCTTCTTCCAGAACTGAATCTATTTACAATATAGTACATTCAGCCGGGAAGCAAAGACATTTAAAAAGAATGCAATGATTTAACAAAACCAAGTGTGATTCTAGAAGAGTATTTTTTTACCAGCAGCCTGCATTTGTGAATCTTGGATAATTATCTTGCACGCTTTGTGTATTGAAAGAATGCATATTTCTCTCATCAGTTTATGAATAACTTATCTTGTTTTAAATAAACTTGTCATTTTTGTTTATGTTGAACTATGCAAATGGATCGAATTTCAGTTATTCTGTGTTTTAGTGCAATGTGTTTTGGAAGATGTGTAAACCATTTTTGTAGTAAACATGTGGAATGCAGTTTCTCCTCTTTTCCTGTTGAGCAAAATTCAAAGATGTCACTTGAGAAAATACAAATAAAAACCTTGATGAATGGGAAAAACTTGGCTTTCTGCCCTGTCAATCATTCTACATTTACAACTAGAATGTTTCATTTGACCTACAAATACAGTGACTACACATTACAGGAAACTAGCACTTTTGAGGCTTTTCAATGTACAAAGATGCCATTAACAGGCTGAAATTTAGACTTACTGAGTTGATTTCAACTAAAATTAAATCAATTGGACGTTTCACCAATTAATAGGTCTTCTAGCCGTTATTTCTCTGATTTATTTCTTCATTTTAAGATATTTGGAAGGTCGCAAAATCTGCCAGCTTCAAACTGTGCTTTTGAGAATGTAAATCTAATATATGGATTTTTTTGACCAATTTTAAACATTCAACAGTCCATACTGAGCACATGAGGTAAATTAAATGCATTTTAAATATAGAATAAGCAGGTATCAACTCTGATGTCTGTTTGAAGTAATTTCTGCATATAAAATTCAACTAACTATATAACAGGGAAGTAAATATACAGCTGGCATAAACACTAGTTTCTAATGAATGTCTTTTACATACAAAGGGAATTTAACTTCTCAATGGTGCAAACATTTCAGGACTGTTTTTTTCTTCCTTGTGTGAAAAAATGTTTAAACTAATTCATTCACCAAATGTAAAACAAGATACACTTTCAAACTAAATAAAATTAGCACCTGTCACAACCTTACTTACCAAACAATCCTGAGGCATGGAAAGCCACACATGCCGCAAACTTATGCCTTACCACTGATAGTTTCAGCCCACCAAAAGGAAAAACCATAGGTTCCTAAAAGAAAATACAAGGTTTTAATCAAAGCAATGCAAAGTTATAATCGAGTTGAAGAATTTTGGGGGGAGGGAGGGGAAAGAAATCAGAAAATGTCAGGAAATCTTATCCACTGCAAGGGGTTCAATAGCTTTGTCTATCGGCTATAATATAAAAAGAACTAAATATACTGCCGTCATAAACATTAGGTTTCTAATGAGATTAGACATCTTTTAAAAGCAAACCTCTGTGGAATGACGATGTGTGAAGCAATATTCAGCATTGTGAACCGGGTTGAAAGAACACGAACAAAGGTAAACAAATAAGATATTTATTAAGTTTAAATTACAAGTTGCTCCTCATTAATGTTGATAACCGATTGTTAAACTTTCAAATATATATTAACCGCTTTCTCTCTCAAATAAAGATGACAGATGGACAATGGCAGTGGTTTGTTAGCATCATACAAAAACATGACATTTGGTTTCAAAAATATATGCTACATTACGTAAGTTTCCATCGGAAAAAATCAAAATTATACAGACCTTTTGTGCAGGAAAGAGAGGTTAAACCCACACATTAATATTACCAAGGATACTAAATGGCAGATGATAGCTGTCAGAATGTTAAATCAGCCGTAAATTACAATAGCAGACAGACACACAACACAAGATCTGACGATTGCAGAAAGTGCCAGGACAACCTGTTTTACAGAAAGACATCCTCATTCATCAATACAAACTAAAACCTAGCAATGTACCCTACCTATCCTTGTCCCACCCACCCAATTCAACGAAAACAAAAAGAACTGGCATCTATATAGTGGCCTTCACGCAGGGTAGCATCCAAGAGCACTTAATTCAAAACTGTTGGTTGTTTAACAATCCAACTTACTTTACAGAAAACAAACGTACCTCAAAAATGAACAAATTATAACACCCAACTTGCATGTATTATAGCACCCTTCACACCGGGTAGCAACCCGGATCGCTTAACAGTGGCAGAGTCTAAAATAAAAAATACAGCACTACGAATCGTCATTTTTTGGTCAATGTTCTAAGTTTTGTGCATTTAATAAAAAAAATCACACAGCACCACAAATGTATGCTCAAAAATATGTACAAATAAATTATAGACTGCTGTTAAAATGACTGAGAAGAATCTGAAGCATTCCTCAACTCATCTTTTATAAAATTGAGAAACTGGATACGGGTGTGTACAGTAAGAAGCCTATTCAAGCCGTTAAAACATCACAACGATGCATGCCATATTTGCAGTCTATAAAGACTTGTAATTTACTTATTATACTCCAATTTTACAGTACTTCTTTCTATATACAAGTTAAGTTCAGATGGCAGTATCAAAATGTGTCACTGACAATTGTCTCACTTATGTTGCTATTGAAAATCTTTCACCATGATCCACAATCATTGCACAAAATATATTATCCAAGGCAGAGATTAAGTTGCATCGCTGCCGTATCAAACTTGCAACATTAATTCTCGCTCTTCATATCTGCATGATAAACTATCCCCCCCACCTCCCAACGTGGAAACTAATTTTGAAGTTCTATCTTTATATCACCTTCACAAAGTTGAACTCCAATCTGTAAATTAACTTTAATCATCGGGATTGAATTCTTCAATTTAGACAGACTCAAGCTAAAATGCTAATATTTCAAAGAGCAATGGTGGGAGATAATGTCAAATAAACATATGTGGAGGGTAGTTAGATTATTTTCCGTACTTGGAGAGAAGAAAAAGAAAATTACAGGAAGATAAATAAAAATAAATATAAATTGCAATGCAAATGGTACTAAAGTCAAATGATAAGTTGATCAACCGTTGGAAGAGTTTTATGCTTCACATGCATTTCAACCAGTTTGACAGGAACTTACAACTAATGACGATAATTACCCGATAAAAGTTTGTATAACCATAATAATCGGCTGCACACAGACAGGACAAGGCATTTTACGCTTATACAATTTTCTATGGATAATATTTCCAGTTCTGGGTCGGACCCCACAAATAAGACAGGGTCCCAAACGTTGCCTTCTGGATTGCAAGGAATCCTCGCATTTTCTCTTTACAGTTTTTGCTTCTTTGCCCACAGATTCAAGATCCTCTCTACTTCTCCACAAGCTGGAAGTGGATGGTTGTGAGAGACTATCCAATGATTCTGAAGAGGCACACGGAGTACTTATTATCCCCATCTCTTTGCATTTTAGGTCTTTAATCTGAATCACTGGCTCCGAGATGGATCTCTTGGAGTCAGGAACATCAATACCTTCATACGGCTCGTTCTCTGCAATGGCAATTGATGGGCCTGATGTGGAACGTGTGAGCTTAGGACATTTAAGGTGCCACCCGCCACGGAGTGCCCAACACTGCAGGCAATACTGCTTCTGCGAAGGATTGTCCTCTCCACACTTGGTGCACTTCCAAGATTTCTAAAAGTTAAAACAAGCATCTCAAATTAGGGGAAAAAAAGCAACAAACAGCAACGATTTTATATCAAATCACATAATACAAACAGCAACAGCAAGAATGAGGTTCTGCAATAGTAACAACAAAATCGTTAATATGCCTTTGGCTTCTACTAGGATAGACTGCATTAACAGGGACCTCTTAGCTCCACTGATATACAAGACCATTAAATGCCCTAATGATTTATCATAACAAAATCTTCTCTTTGCATTACTATAACAGCTACCGTTCATTGAGATTAATAGTTTGACTCACATCTGAGATTTCAGGGTCGGTGGCATGCCCCGAACATGACAGACCCTCGCCAGCTTCATAAATTGTAACTTCAATAACCTACAAGGGTAAAGGAGGAGAACAAAGGGGGGAGAAAACAGCAAAACAAGTCAGAAAAGAAACGATACCAAAGATAGCTGTGACTAAATAGCTGTCAGTGTAAGTCACTATTAAGTGCAGTGCAACTTACCTTGACTACTTGAAGGTTAGGATTACCATCAACTTTCATTTTGATCTGTGCTCATGCTGGTGAAGAATGATAGGGCTGGGAATTTGTTTTTGAACATTTCACCCAGTGATCGGATCGAGCACTCCTAGTTCATGGTTCAAATGTACTGCTGAACTGTCTGCATACAATGTACATTGACACACACCTCATAGAGAGAGGCACGGCCACACTACACCAGTGTGAACCTTCCCACACTTCATCCTTGGGGTTGCTATAACTGAGCTTGTTGAACTAGAAGCAATCTTTGCTACATTCAGGGCATTTAACTGAGTCAATTGCCCACAAGCTCTAACAGCCTCCGATTCCAAAACCCAAAGACAAGGATCTTCTCCAGTCGGGAAAGAGAGCAATTTAACCTGAGACAGACAATGACCAGGGGGTAAAGTAAATTTTACTGGCTATTGTCATTAGTACTCATCATATACAAAAACATTTGTGTTATTTGGACTTTTAGCTCTCCCACCCTCTGTATTTTGTCAATTGTGCCAATTTCTTTCCACATAATCAGATCTCTCATCTTTTTGAAATACAAATTACCACATTATGAATATTATCACTTTATGAATATTTGAAGAACTACAATCAATTATTTATTGAGCTACGAGAAAAATCTCTGCTATTGGTTTGGTGCAACAAGTACACAAAAATATATTTTAAGAGTTCAAACTGACATAGAAATCAAAGCTTTCTCAAATTAGCAAAAGGATCTTCAATTAATGTCTCCTCTTGCTTATGCAGTAGATCACAATAGCGAGCTTATAGTTCTAACATGTCAAATCGCTCACTGTATGGAGGCAAACAAGGTGACATGTCATTCACTAGAATTTAAATTTGACTTGCTCAGTCTGTTTCCTTCTGACGTTAAGCATTAGTGTAGCAATTTTACATTGAAAAAATATATCTAATCCTCATCTTTTTGAGCTTTGCGTACAGCAGATTTACTGGAACTATAAAATAAAAACTTCATTTGTTTGACATAATTCAATGTGTTGCAAACATTTTTGAAAGGGATAAATTGTGGCCTTTTTGATAACTTCAGCAGGTGTGGCACATTCATGCCATTAGAAACGAGTTTGGTCTAACAGTCTACCGACCTCTTTGGGATCTGTGTTTTTGTCTTCCTCTTTCTCCTCCTCTTGGTCACGTATTTCTTTAGGATGAATGGCTCCCTCTTTGATTTCTACATTGGCTTGATCGTGGTCGGGTTCATTCAGAAACCACAGATCATCAGTGGAGTCGGATACAATGGCAGTGTCTATATCCTGAAGGATCAAAGAGGCTTGAATATCCCTGGTAACTTTGTAAACTTGGTGTAGAGAATGGCACTTGGCAACAAGGTCTTATAAATGGGGAGAAAATATCCATTTTCTATTAATAAGGGCCACTCTACCTGGTTACTATGAATATCTGTCGATCCACTTTTTCTACTTCCATAGTTACTTTGCAAACTTTTTATAAACCACCAAGGCAATCCTGCTGCGTCCCAGTGATCTGAAACACTCTCGCTTCTCTGCCTTTTAGACTGAAGTTCAGGTTGATCATCTGCATCCAAGTCATCTAGAACAAAAACAATCATTCAAGTTTTAGGAAGGAATTAAATGCGGAGATTTAAATAAAATTACCTTTTAAAATTTTTTTAAAAATTACATTTGCAAAATATTAAGCCTCAAACATACACTTGCATAAATTCAAGCTGGGGTAGTTTTTCAAACAATGAAACCGTTGCCATAAACTAACCACAAGTTTATATTCTCAATCTCCTCACTGCAACAGAAACGGAGTCATCTCCCAGTATCCTCTTGTAACTGGGAAAGTGGAATTGTCTTGAGTCAGGATCACTATTAATGTCACTGATATTGGGAGGCATATCAAGGATCAGATGGCCCCTGATCTTGGTGCATTCTATTCCTCACAAGTACACACCATATAATGATATCACCCCAACTAACCTGATTCAGAGTTCTTTCTTTTCAAATGTGAGGTAGCTGAATTTGGTACTATGCAGACAGTTTCTCCTTCACTCGTCTCTCCTGTCAGGCACTACGAGGAAGAAAGGTAAGGGACAAGTGTTTACAACAATTATCCTCTACAAGTTTAATAGGATGTACCAGTTCTACGCAGCCACTGACTTTCGTGTGTTTTTTTTAAAAAAAGGCAGAACCCAGGTTGGATACTCCCAAACCCCATTGAAATGAAGGCAATGATTTCAATTTATTAATCTAAGATTCTACATTCAAATTATAGAATGTGACAATGTATAGCAATAAATATTTTATTCCCCTCACAATTATTACAATCTAATGAGGATTGTGCATAGAGCAGGACACACAATGAGGGATGTCAATTAGGAAATAAAAATCTGTCGATAGCAATAGGTATTATTCAGATGCCAGTTTCACAGAAATACAGAAAATAGGCATCAAGCCAAATACAAAATTGCACACATTGAACATATTTACATGGTTTGACGAGGTAACTTTCCAATTTTCTTCCGTAATGAACTGGTAATTTAAGACATTTCAATACAGTGCATAAACACCAGGCTAGTTGCTTTAAGAGCTTGACTCATAAGTAGAATAATTTCCAAAATAAAACATTCCAATCTCTGCCATTCCTTTCATTATCTGGAAGATTGTTTTGTTCAATCATGAAAGGTTTAATGGGTAATCAGTGTTGAGAGCAGATGAAAACAATGAATGGTAATTTTGAGTTCTACATACAAACACAATGTATTAGCAGCCCCAATTTATTTTTCTTACAAATATTTGATGAGTACTTTTCTTTGCATACATGATACAAAATGGCTAATCCAGATAAGAAAGGAACCTCTTATTTTATGGCAGCACATACAGACAACATTGTCTGGTAAATTAGAAAAACAAACCTCAGAGCTGCAACATAGCATAATTTCACAATTAAAGATCCTTGCCTCCATTCACCCTCAAACCTATCAATTCATTTAAGGAAATCAGATTTTGCCTTTTAGTGGACAAGGGGTTCAGCTACGTGGTTTCTGCCATCTTCCACAAGACGAGTCAAGTGAATAGAGAAGAGGTGCTACATCCTCCAACACACAGAGAAGTGAACTCTGAAGACAGAACAGAGAAGAGGGCTCTGTCCCTCCCGTCTGTGAGCTTAGGCGACAATACCCTCAGACAGGAAGTACAGAGACGGGGCCACTCTGTACAAAACGAAGATGTCACGATAGTTTTACCTTCAGGTGTTCTTCCCTCAGAGGCAGGCAATTCGTTTCCTTTACAAGTGTACGAGTCTGAGCAGCATCTGCATTACAGGTAAAAAAAAGACACCTTCCCCAGTAATAACCATTCTCACAACAGTCATTGGAATTTATCGTGCATTGCCAGTCAATCAACCAGTCTTTGATTCATTATCGATAAGGAGGTTATATCACCACTGCCATAGGCCAAAGTGTAACCATATAGACTTTTTTAGACAGGGAGAGGGAAACTGTGAATGCGATTTTTATATTTAGTTTCATTGAAATTCAAAGCTATTCATGAGAATTAATCCCATGTAGCAAGATAAAACTATAGATAACAACTACAGAAATAGACTGCATCGACTGCAATGCATTTCCACAGTAGAAGGGTGAAAATGTTTCAAATCTGCACAAAATTGCACAGCTTCAATAGTGCAATTTATTATGTGTGCATATTTTAGCATGTAGCTTATTGAGCACTCTGCAGCCGAAACACAAATTGAAGAAACTAATCTTTGTGCATTTACAACCCTAGGATTCCCCCCATAGGGATACTTTATAAACAGTTTAGTGACATCTATTGGTGGATAATGAGCACTGCATGAACTTTTTAATCCCTCCAAACCAAAAACAATAGTAAAAATTGGTCTTTTTCAATCTACGACTGTTTGTGGGACATTGCTGTGCGCAATTGGCTGCCGTGTTCGCCCACAAATATACAGTCAATTCACTTTACAGTGTGTTCTGTGAAGCGCTTTGGGACGTCCTCCCGACGTGAGAAGTGCTATATCAAATGCAAGAATTATTATTTTTTTTTTTAAAAAATCAATGTGTACTCCAGAGAAATTCAAGAAGCAGAGGGACACTCGATGCTTACATTGCAAAATGTACTTCAGCCGACAGTGATTATGATTTAATGAAAGGTAGAATGTGTGCACATTCAGGTCACCAATTGAGACCTGATGGTACCACCACATACAGTTTAGGATCGTGGAGCACTAACATAGCGGGTGCCAAACTCATTCAACCTTCAAATGAGCAGAGAATCATGAATCTGGGGCTAAGAGGCTGGAATCATGCTAAAAATAACATGTCTGCCAGCCATATCACTTGAGAGGAGAGCACGAGAATTGTGTGGCAGTAAGTAGATTCTATTTAATCCTTTTTCCTATTACTAGAGGCAGGATACTATCAAAATAATTTGCAGTCCAATAAATAAGTCTTATGTGAGAGTCAAGAGTTTAAATTCACGCATTCACTGACATTCCAACTCACATCCATTCCCCTACATCCTCGGAAAATTTCACCAGTTCTTGGCGCTTTTCACAAATGTAATGCTCGCTTTTGTGTGGGGACGAAAAGCTAGCAAAGCCAGTCCATTCCTGAATAGATGCACTTTTTGTCAGCTGAACAAGAAGCAGCATTGATGTCTGCAGCCATGAACAGACCAGGTGAAAGGACAATGCAAGGCAGCAAGGGACCCAATGTACAACAGCAAACAATAAAATAAACAGGTTTATTTGAAGACCATTGCAACTTAATTTCAGCCTTTACAGGTTTTCCTTCTTCCCTCCCTTTCAACGACAAAGTTTGGAGCCTTTAAGACAACAACAAACAACAAATTGCATTTATATAGCGCTTTTCACGTCGGGAGGATGTCCAAGGAGCTGAACAATGAACGGTTTGCACCTGAGTTGGGGGACAGGAGTCAAGAGGGGTCTTGTTGGTATTCAAATGGACAAGACAACGTTAATGTGCGGTACTCTTAGAATGCATCAATATTAGCCGACATATTACCACTTCATTTTTATGAGCATTTACAAGAAATTATCCACAAGATTTCACATTTCATTGTTGAAGCTCTTTCCTTAACTATCTGCCCCATTACATCACTCACCAGTTTCCTATCAATACAGACTTAACCACATTTTTATGCTTTACTATACAAAATTACGAATAATATACGTACCGTGAAAGTTCAAAGCTATTAGGTTCCTTGAAAGCATTTCATACAATTGGCTGTAAGAAAATATTGTATAATTTAGTATGTTTTGTGTACAACGCAGCACTACAATGAATTCCAATTAGCAGAAGCTTCAGAGTTCCACAATACTTAGACAAAGGGAATAGTTTTTTTTACCTGGGAACTTTAACAGAGAAGCTCTCGACTCCAAATACTTTACCCAGGGGATCATTTCCGCAATATACTATATGCTGCTGCTGTTTATCATAAAGTTGCTTTAACATTATATACTGGCCGAGATAATGCATTACCTGCAAAAGTAACAAATAGATCAGAATATACTCATTTATCACTGCAAAAATCCCAAATTAGTTTGCCATACACATGTATGTGAACATCTAGAAATACTAAAAACTTCATGCAAGGTCAAAACACTGAACTGCAGATACAGGGGATTCTATGCAGCAAGTTTCCAATCTTGGCTCAATGATCCCCTAATACCTCTATAACCAGCTGCAATGACATGTATGATTAGTTTATGTATGAAGTGTAAACAGTGTAGCTCAAGCTGAATGGCACACAACCTCAAAGGCAAACCCTTGCAAAACAGTACAGCAATGACTGGTCATTGGTGAATGAATTTTCAAATGATGACATCCTGGCTTCATAGGGTGTTCTCATTTACAAATGCTCTGAAAAGGCCCAAAATCTAGCGCCACACTTTGGGAAAAGGAAATGTGGGAAATAAGATGGCCACAATTACAGTATCCAAATGTTCAGGTCCTCAAACACTTAGCTTAGGTTCTCATTGCCAACTCTCATAACGAGAAGTAATCAACCAGTTAGATAATAAGGACTCCCTCTGTGGGAAAAACAGGTACTACAGTAAATTCAAACAATACCATGCATGCTGGTATACCTGCTGTGGGTGTGGAACTACATTCCTATGTTCCATTCCATCCGTACAAGTACCTCAAACATAAACTTGAACATCAAAGCTACCTAATCCATGCTCCAGTAACCAGCACGGCAGATTTGAAATATGTTCAGTTAGAATCTTATATAGGAACTAATTGTATTTTTAAGAATCACATTTCTCCTCTTTCTTTTACCTCCTTCAATGTGAAAATTTCTCCTGATGCACCTGCTTCATGAAGAAGATTCAGCAGAAGAGGCTTTGGCCTTATCTATATAGAGAAAAACAATGTAGATTAAAAAACGCATTAAAACAATCATAATCCATATTTGTTAGCCACACTGAGTGTTCATGTTCTTCAAACAGGAAATGCAGAACAGTGGGAACAACAGGAACTATTTGTACTTAACAATGAACACTTAAAATAGAAAGCACAGGATTACAGACTATACAGCATCAAATCAGGCCATTCAATACAATTAGTCCATACCAATATTTACACTTCACATGAGCCTCCTAATCCTTTCCCTCCATTCCCTTCTCTCCATATATGGAAATGTTCATGTATTTTAATAATTCAAATTAGCAAGTTATTTGAAGCGGTATAATATCACCACTTTACCTAACAAAGTGAGTTTTCAAAAGGAAAGCAACTTATTAAATGAATTTCACTCCATTGAAATATAAAGTTTCCTCACTTTGTAATGAAACTCTGTTGCAATTCTGCGCACTCTTTTCACCATTAAATATCATGGTGCTGACATAATGAGGAACTATGTTTGCTGTTCACGTAAATGTTGTGCAAATTGAAAATATTAAGAAAAACTGAAATTCTTTTAAAATCTACAAATTCCAAGTTTACAAATGCACTTTGCTTATTTTCCAAACAACGTATTGGATGAGGAAACAATACTTTGATTGTTGATGAAATCTTACTCGTTTTATTGATATGAACTGTTTTTGTTCACACAGCTTGATCATAACTCAGCAACAACTTGCATTTATGTAATACCCTTCACACGGGGTAGAGTCTCGAAGCACTTCAACTCTCACCTATTGCTAGTATTACAGAATTTAACAAACTTTAAATAAACAGTACAAACCAGCTTTTTTAAATTCAAGTTCTTACAGTCAAAAGAATTGGCATTTATGATAAAAGTTACCAACCTTTTCTGTGGAATTGCCACACAAGATATCAGATGAGCTGAAAGAAGAAAAAAAAGTAACTGTTTATGAACATTCAAAAAAGCCAGACTGCAAGGCACTGGATAAGGGGTAAAAGCATATTAAAATGTCTTAATCTAATGAAGAGTACTTACATAGTTCAGTACCAGAGAGATCGCTCTGTCTCACCCTTTTTATTAACTGTTCAAAATGTCCTTATTAAAATTCACCTGTTCTGAATGATTTAGAATTAATTTTACAACTTGCACTTATGTAGCACCCCCTCCCGTAGACAGCATCCCAGGAAATCCCAGAACAAGTCAGGACATGTACCTGTAAACTCCCTCGTCACTCATATGATTAACTTAGTTGACAGTAACAGCTGAGTTAACTGTAATCCCTGTAAGTATCCACTTATTTAGGCACAGGACAGCCCTTTACAACATCTCCCTCCCTTTAAGTCCCCAAAAGGGCAAGTGCCTTCTTTAAAAGGCAGCAGCTTCCTTACTTAAATTCCTAGGGCACCATTCGAAAGAGAAGTTTCCCAACAATCTCCAGATTAACTATCTATGGATCTTGCCATGTGCAAAATGGCAACTGCATTTGCCTATCAAAAGTCACTATGGGTGACAGTAATTACTGTGAAGTGGTTTGATATAATAGGCTCTATAAAATGCAAATTATTTTCTTCTAGTCCCTAGTTTCCAGATCTTTCCGGTGTGTAGAGTTGAAGAGTTAATTTCACACAAGTCCAGCTCCGTAATTTTAAAATGCAGTTAAACTCTTGCAATTTGAGCCACTGATGATCCCACCACCACCACTGCCCAGTACTCCTCTCATGTCCCTAGATTCCACAAATATAATTACATTACAGATCAATATCCACTAATCATTATAATAATCCTTGCATTTGATATAGCACCTTAGCCTTATCACGTATTCTTTGAGACGTCTATGAGTGACTGCATTATTTTAATGAAGGAGAGGGGGGGAGAGGGAGAGTCAGTAGGGAGGAAGGGGAAAAGAGAGAGTAGGGGGAAGGAGCGAGAGTATGGGGGAAGGAGAGAGAGAGGGTGGCGGGGGAAGGAGTGGGGGCAAGGAAGGAGGGAGAAGAGAAAGAGGGGGGGCAAGAAAGGAGGGGGGGAGAAGAGAGGGGGGGCAAGAAAGGAGGGGGGGCAAGGAAGGTGAGAGAGGGGGAGAGGAGAGAAAGAAGGGGGGAAAGAGGAGGGGGGGGGAGGAGAAAGAAAAGGGGGGAAGTAGAGAAAGGGGGGGAGGAGAGATGGAGGGAAGGAGAGAGAGGGGGGTGGAGAAGTAGAAAGAGAAGGGAGAAAAAGGAGAGAGGGGGAGGAAGGAGAGAGAGAAGTGGGGGGAGGAGAAAGAGAAAGGGGGAAGTAGAGAAAAAGGTGGGGGGGGAGGAAGGAGAGAGGGATGGGGGGGGGGATGTGAGAGAGGAGGAGGTGTGGGAGGAGAGAGAGAGGGGGGGTGTGGGGAAGCAGAGAGAGAGAGAGAAGGGAGAAAAAGGAGAGGGGGGAGGAGGAAGGAGAAAGATGGGGGGGGGGGGGGAGAGAGAGAGAAAATCCAAGTAAAGTCAGCCAGTGAGGTATATTCAACGTACCGCAAAGCTGCAGCTGCGTGGTGTAGCTTGAGAGAGAGAGAGAGAGAGAGCAGTGCGTGTGTGTGGGGGGGTGGGCTTGTAATGGCTGGAAAGTTCTGGAAGCTCGCCCGCAGGACCTCGTTTGGGCGGTAAAATTGACCTCCTCCCTCCGTCCCACTCAATCCTGAATATTATGCCCACCGCAGATCAACGATGATCGATCCACATCACGTGCGACGGATCGATCAATCGATTGATTTGATTATCGATGTGGAATATCGCCCCGAGAGGGAGGAGGAGGGGGCGGGAGGGGGGGAAGGGTGTCCCGCGTCGCCGCCCAATCGAAAACGGAACTATTATTATAATGATTAATTATTATTATTATTATTATTATTAACCCCTCACCCGGCGGCGCCTGAGAGGCCCCTACGAAGCTTCCAGAACTTTCCAACGTCCCCTCAGACACCGTCTCCCGCCAACAGCCCCCCCACCGCGCGCTCTCTCTCTCTCTCTCGCTCGCGCGCGCAGGAAGAAGGAGAGAGAGAGCGAAAACCTCCTCCTAAGTTCTGCTTTCAGTCACGATTAAGTTTAACGTGGCGCCCGCCGCCCGGTGATGGGGGGGGGGGGGGAGGGGGGTTTCCACTCACTTTTTTATTGCACTTCCATAGTGTTGTTGTTGCTGTTGGCGGCGGCGGCGTCGTCGTCGTCCTCGGCCGCCGCTCGTCGGTCCCCCCCCCTCCTCCTCCTCTTTCTCCCGCCCGTTGGTCGTCGTCCGTCGTCGACGGCGGCGGCGGCGCGTTACTGACTACTGACTCCTGACGACTAACTCCTCCTTCTTCTCCTCCTCCTCCTCCTCCTTCCGCCGCCTCCGCCACGGCTCCTCCCCCTCCCGTCTCCTCGCGAGGACTGGCCAAGTAGTGCGGCCAAGTAGTCCGCCCCCCCCCCCCACTCCCACGCAGCGCTTTCACTTGTAACGCTCCTTCTCTCCCCCTTCACTTCCCTAACCCCGTGTATCCCTCCGCCGCCGCCGCAGCAGCAACAGCCGCCGACCAGCCTCTCCCCGCCCTTCTCCCTAACCCCGCCCACTTTCCCGGTCTCCACCAATCCGCGCGGCGACTTTCTAGATCGACAGGCGAGGCGTCCAATCAGCGGCAGCAGCGCCAGGCAACGGGACTCCCCCAACCACCCAACGGACTCCTCGTTTAATAACGACTCGCACTGCAACCAGAGGGTCCCAATATGGACTGGAGATTGACAAGGCATTTCGTCTTTACCTGGACTCAGCTGGGAGGACTCCTGCTCGGGAGTTCATCCGTACGTGATGAGCTTGTTTGGGTCGCCACAGGAGATCCTCGCGAGACCGCCCACTCAAAAAAAAATATGCCCATGACACTCCCCCCCCGCCCTTTCCGATGAGGTACAGATCACGTCTCTTATGTCGATCTGTTATCACGTTCTTGGGGGACAGACAGACATTTCGAGACGTCTCAAAGGGCTTCACAGGATATGCCGCAAAGTGCGCCGACTGCATTTTGCGGGGCGAAACGAAACGCGGCGGCCAACTGTGCACGCGTATTAAATAATAATCAGGCTCATCAGAGATTAATGCGACGACAGCTTGCATTTATGTAGCGCCATTCACGCCAGACGAGCCAGGGGAAAGGTGATCGAAGGCACATTCGAAGAGGAAGGTCTTCAATTGTGACCTGAAAATCGTGAGGAGGCAAAGCGAAGGACTTGAGGGAGAGAGTTCCACAGCATTGGGTCTTAGTGGCTGAAAACACAGCCGCTGATGGGGCAGAGGGTCCTGGGGACAAGGATAAACCTTTTCCCTTGGAGTGAAGAGCTATCAGGAGTTTACTGTCAACACAATCTGGACACGCTCAAAAACACGGTTTCTCAAAACCAACTGAATTATTTATTTACAATGAACTGTACAGCGGCTACACTACATATATTTGGTGGGCAAAGTTTTAATAATATTTAAAGCTCCTGTAGTGTGGGCAAGCACAGTGCAGAAAATATCAAAAAGTCTTAAGCTTTACATTTGAATTGCACGTAAAGATGATGTCATACAACCTCCTTCCTTGGGTCCGTTATTGATATAAAATAAACTCCACAATGATCAGGAGAAAGAACAAAATGGATAACTCTCCGTGGCAAGAGGCAACACACTATTAAACAGCCTTTGTCAATTGTATGACATTTGAGCAAAATACATTCTGTCACAACAGCATACGCACTTGCATGTGATTCTCTATGCCAGGTGTGATCTTGCGTACAGACACCCAACACGCTGTTCAACGATGCATGTTAAATTTTTAAACAACAAAACTGTAATTCCCTCCATTCGTAAGGAGTTGTAACAGATTTAACTTTCCTATATTAGGCATCTAGTTTACAATGAATTAAGACGTTTTCTCAGGGCAAACATGGTCTCCCAGTTGCCTTACGATTAAAGTTCCCTTTCCTCGTACTGTATAGAGAAGGGCAGTTCCCAATTGGAATCGCTTTCTTCAGTTTAATTGGCTCGATTAAGGTATTTTACTGAAAGCGTCTCTTCGCTTTCTCCGGAGTTTATTTCTTCCTGCGGACCTTGGGCTTTTTGACAGGTCTCAGATAAGGATTGTCAATCATTGTGTCCTCGCCGTTCTTGCTATTAGATAATCCTGAGCCTTGTTGCAACACTGAGTTCTCCTTCTCGGAGGATAATTCATCCTAGAGACAAAGAAGAAAAATAGCAGCTTTGTTACTAACAATTTATAGCTCGTGAGACCTATTCCCCTTTAACAATAAATCCGACGGTACTATCAAAAACAGCACATGAAATAAAAAGACAAAAATAAAAGTGCGTGAGAGTAATCCCAAAGCAATAATCTCATTTCAATGTTGAGTTTGTCTGGCATCTCATTTAATTACCATTAGTTTAGCTAAATTGCAGGGATAAATAGATCCACTACATTCCTTCGACTGCTTTTATTATCTCGTGCTTCTCTTTTAAGGAAGTTTAAACAACTTGCATTTATATATGTTTCATTGGTCATCCTTTTGTATTATGACATTACAAACACATGACGATTGGAACAATTAAATGAAACATACTAGATTCATATTTAGTGCAATATTGTCTGAATCATTCTGATCGTCCTGTTCCGAGGAATCGGTCTCCTCCATCTGCTGCAGCTCCAGTTCAGATGGTAACAAGGCGTTCAGGTAGGGAATCGTTGAAGTCTGTGCAGCAATCACTAAAAAAAGAAATCAACTCCAATGAAAACAATTTTAGGATAAAAAGTCACCAAACACCGATCTTAATCACTTATTTTCTAATCAGTGCAACGACATCTTTCATCGGAATAAATAGTGGCAGAGTGGCAAATACAGCAATGCTCAAAATTATGAATAATAAACCTTACATTTGATAATAACCTTGATAATAATCCTTGAATTTGCCTTATCACATCTTTGACACATCTCAAAGTGCTTCACAGAAGATTTGGCGTCAGACTCTGCCACTGCCAAGAACTCCAGGACGCTACCCCGCGTGAAGAGTGCTATATAAATGCAAGTTGGTGGTGGTGGTGGGACTCGGAAGAGTATAAAGTAACACAGGTTCAGAGGAAAATCAGAAGAGCAGAGCTGGGGAACGGAGCATCTAACGGTAACTGATCAACACACTCAAATCTAGTCAGTCCCCTCTATCTTTTCCATGGGCGATTCCAGTTCGATTAACTGCTTCCCAGTCGTACGCATAAACCCTTTAACTGTTACATATTGCTGCTTCTCGCTAACTAATAGAACTGGATTGATTGTCCCACATTCGGTCTGGTCTTTGCCTGATCTTTACCTCGGGGTTCACAAACTAAATGATAGAACAAGCCTTACACCCCCAATAAAAAGACCCCACTTTATCTTAATAATAATAATATTACTTGCATTTGATATAGCGCCTTATTCTTCTGCTCAACCGGATTTTTTCTTAAAAGATACAAATAAAATGATATGCTTACAGGGGAATGTTGTAACATCATCTTTAAACAGGCTCTGCGTTTCCCCGGTCTTGGCCATAAACCTGGTCAGAGCTCGTTCCACATCTCTCCTCTGCGAGGCAGCCTTCTCCCTCAGCACTTGGTAATCAGAGACTGGCTCTCTGATAGTCTTACATTGGAAAAAAAGAATATATATATGTACATGCAAAACATCTAGTGCTACTGAGGTTCTGAAAGCAGCGAGATTGTTCTGAACACTTAGCACAAGAGGTTTCAAGGCAATACAGACGAACCTGCAACAGACACAATCATGTAATGTACAGAATGTACTATAAAGTGAATGACCATATATTTTGTGGGCAAAACATACAAAATATATGGCATCATTTACATTAGAGCAAAAGAGCTCCACTTTATTTATGTCTCTCACTGCTTCTCCCAAGACAGGTTAGGCCAGTGATGAACAGCAAATTACCCAGACATATTAAGCTAAGCACAAGACAATGCAAAAAATTCTGTCTATTCCATTCAAATGTTTTCTCCAGTTGCTGCAGTTTGATATTCGTCATCCTGTAATATGGAACACACTGAAATAATCAATGAACTCATCTGAAATTCCTTCCTAAATGATTAGCATGACCCCAACCCTCCAAAATCCAACCCCCCGCTTGGGTGCAAACCTTTAACTGTCCATAGCCTTGGTACATCCTCCTAACGTTAAAGTCACTTTATAAATGAAATTGTTGTTGTGGCCGTTAATGTGCCTGCTTATGATGAAAGAGTCTTTTATTTTCATTATTTATACATTACATTAAGATTCTGGAATGGAACTGTAATATTCTCAAACAATTTCTTCACAAGAGACGTAAATTCACTTTTATGCAAATGTTTCGAACTTTCGGATCTGCTGCTCTTATGAGATGTGTTTATACTTACAGGGGTCTTTATGTAAGTGTGAGGATCTGGGAACTCAGGAAAATGGCTCGGGATGTATGAGGGGTGTTGCCTTTTTTGTCCGGTGGATAGCGCTCTGGGTGTTGCTGGAGTATTTGTAACAGGAGCTTCATGGAAAAGACAAAAGTTACAACTAGTTGAAAGAAATGGATCATTGACAATTGTTGCATATTCACACGACTCAAATTTGGTGCAAACGTTCTTCACTTTCGCGAAGGCCCTCTGAACAAAGGCCTGGATTGTAACATTAAACAGCTGCTGTGTCAGAAAATGATCACCTGCCAATATTTCTAGAGCAGCTATTCTTCATGAGATGCTTCACAGCCAAGAGGCTGATTAGGGATAGGAGACACTTCAGGAATGACTGACGTACACCAAAAAGAACCTCCCTACTCCCAATACTAATGTTCTCCATTACAATAGAAAGGAATGTAACACTTCTTTCACCACAGCCATTGTAGCCTCAATCAACACCCCATAATATCCTGTAGGCTACCAGCAGTTAAAAATGATTTTCCGGTTTAGAATAAACCAATACTTCTTGTTAGAGATTAGGACTGCCGTTTTCAGCAGTTAATATTAAAAGTAAACATACTCACGAGCAGTAATAACCATCCTTTGAGAGCGTTTGGCATAAGCTTGAACTGTGTCCACATTAAAACCTGAAGAACAGAAGTGTGAAGATGTTTTATATTTTATTGTACCAAATATTTTGCTTTAGTTTAATGCAGCTGCACGAATAGAGATTCAGTAAATTATCATTTGCCAAACATCATCCCATCAAATAAGACAGCACAGCAATTTACTTTTATTAATAAATATATACATTCCCTCTGCCCCCCCTCCTCCAATTAATGACCAGTCAACTACTGCTATCATTCTCCATGTGCAAAGGAATTACTAATTGTCTCACACACGCACCCATTTCTGCCAAAGTGACCACAACGTCCGACAGGGTTGGCTGTGTTCTTGCTGAATGCTCGCAATATACTTTAGCACTTCGACCGATTTCACAAAGGTCTAGGAGGAAAGTTTTTTTTAAAAAAGTTAGCTGAAATGCTGAAAGTTTCAAAACAACAGACCTAGAGAATCGAAAGAAGGTGCACGATATTCATTCAGTGTGAGAGAACAGATGATATTACATCACAAACGTTCAAAGGGCATGTCTTCAAAATGATCAACAATAACAAATCAAATTTATATAGCGTCAATCAATCCTATACAGTACAGATCACTTTCCATCCATTTTTCAGGTCCCTGCAATCACATGCGCTTACATTTTCTGTGTGTCTGCGGATTATACATATTTGGAATGTGACGCCAAATACTTTAGGAAATATCGTACCAAATGGAATGTGCTAGCTTAAGATTTACAATGACAGTACTCATTTTACAGATATGCTTAAAACAGACATTGAGAATGCCCTGAGATGTGGTGTCGAGAGGGTTTGCAGAGACGATTCCCAGAATGTCGCAAAACCATCTTGTGAAATACTTCGGAAATGTCACCAAAAAAAATTGACTGTGTAGTCTAATGTGACGGTCGGGGGAAAGCTGCAATGTCTTGGCTTACGTTTGAAACTGTCAACGCATCAAAAGGCCTTCAGAGCGATTTCTGACTGCGACGTAACCTTGGTATTTATAGATGTGCACCAAAGCGATTACTAAACAAAAGCGACTCACAGCTCTGCAGCATTTCAGTGAGTGTTTCAATGGCTGCCTTCTCTGCGGCTTCAAATCCTGCCTCGGTTAATAGTGAGCTAACCACCACCTGCAGGGTGCGTCTCCGAGCCAGGTAATAGTTGTCCGATGGCGATGTCGACGGTTTGGCACCTGATTTCTGGTAAAAAAAAAATGAAATTAAAAATTAGACCATAGAAATTAACTGCACCATCAATACACTCACTTTCGTATCAGAACACGAGGCTGGCTATTCCAAATCTAAAACAAACATTGCATAGGAAAACAGGAAAAGCATGTTCCACCAGTTAATTCGATTTTATACTTTAGATTTAATCTCAAAGCCCTGCCCTCTCACTATGTTTAAGCACAGCGAAAAAGTGCCTTAATAATCCTTGCATTCGATCCAGTGACATCTCAAAGTACTTCACAGAATATACTGCGAAGTGAATTGACTCTAATATGTTGTAGGTGAAACGGCAGCCAATTGCCCACAGTAGTGTCACACAAACAGTCGTGAATTGCATGGACAAATTATTATTATTATTAGTATTGAAGACAAATTAAAGTGACAACTCAGTATTCACACACGAAAACCACAATCTTCACACGTTTAGAACTCTAGAAGAATTGTAACGCAATGGCTTCCTAATCCACTCTCAATTTAACTTTGACGACGCATAAAATATCCATATTTTCCCCACGTTAGGTTCAAAGAAACTCGATCAGGTTACCTGGCTGACATTCTCCACCGAGACTTTGCATGTAGCATCAGCGGACGTATACGTTTCAGACACAGAAGCTGTCGTCATTCTCGCAGTTAAATGGTTATCTGAAATAAAAGATAATTTATGTAAACATTCAATAAAACTAGGCACAAATATGCCCAGAGTAGAAATTCAGTTACCACTTTGAGCATTAACAGTGCCTTCTTTTTTGACGGAGAGGGTCCCACTAACGATCAAGCAATAAATTGGATTAATCCCTCTGTTTGAACACGTGATTGTGAAGCTCAGCATATCCATATACCACAACAAACTATTGACAAGGTACAAGGCTAACTGGCTAACAATTTCAGTCGGAATCTTAACCAGGTGAATTTCACCTACACGCACACACACTTTACTTTGTGAAGCACTTTGAGATGTCCGTAACTTTAGAGGCGCTGTATCAATTTTTATTTTACATAAGAAGTATTCTAGCTTCTCCTATATCTCAACATTGCTTCACCAGCGACTAAACACACGTCTACAGGCTGATAAGGTCCCGCCCAAATCCTATTGTCTGGCCTAAGCAGATAGGTGACTTGAGCAATGTTAAGGCAGACTAAAATGAGTTTTGCTCTACATCATGCGCACATGGAAATGCTTTGACGCTACAGCCAGGCGGACGACAATCACCCACCCAGAGAGAGAGAAGAGAGAAAGAGAGAGAAAAAAGTTGTTCTCTTTAAAGGTTGCTGGCGAGGCCATTGCTGAGCGCAAAATTGGCTGCTACGTCCGCCTGCGAAATACACAGTCAGTCCACTTCACAGCAACTCTGCGAAGCACTTCGAGACGTTTCCCCCCCCCACCCCACCCACCCACCCCCCACCCCTCCCCGAGCTCGGCTCCCAGGCCGGCAGTGATAAGCGTTTTGAGGCGAGCAAAGACACCGTATAAATCTAAATCGTACTGTTATAGGCTACGCAACATTCAAGGAGCGGAATTACTATAAGTCTGGAGCCAGATGCTCCTCTCTTCTTCTTTCCCTCTCCTCCCTCCCTCCCACTCTTCCCCTCCTCCTCTTATTTTTCCCCCTCTCTCACACACTCTCTCTCTCTCACACTCACTCTATCTCTCACACACGCTCTCTCCTCCTCTTATTTTTTTCCGCCACGCTTCATCCCCCTCTCCCCCCACCCCATCTTTCTCTCACATTCTCTCTCCCTCCTCTCACGGTTTTCCTTTCTTCCCCCCATTCTCTCTCTCTCTCCCTCACACATTTTCCCTCATTCTTCCCCTTTCTTTCTCTCTCTCTCTTTCTCTTACTCACACATTCTCCGTCTCTCTCTCCTCTCACATTGTTCCACTTTCTTCCACTCCTTCACACTCTCCGTCTCTCTCTCCCCCTCACTGTCATTCACTCTCTCCTCTTCACTCCTCCCCTCCCGCCCCCCCCCCACCACTCTCCCTGACACTCTCTCTCCCCCTCCCTCCCTGTCACATTCACTCTCTCCTCTCTCTCTTACTCTCTCTCACTGTCATATTCACTCCCTCCTCTCTCTCTCTCTCTGTCACATTCACTCTCTCTTGTCTCACTCCTCTCCCCCCCCACTCTCCCTGACACTCTCTCTCCCCCTCCTTCCCTGTCACATTCACCCTCTCCTCTCTCTCTCTCTTACTCTCTCTCTCTGTCACATTCACTCTCTCCTCTCACTCCTCTCCCCCCCCACTCTCCCTGACACTCTCTCTCCCCCTCCTTCCTTGTCACATTCACTCTCTCTGTCACATTCACTCTCTCCTCTCACTCCTCCCTTCCCCACTCTCCCTGACTCTCTCTGTCACATTCACTCTCTCTGTCACATTCACTCTCTCTGTCACATTCACTCTCTCCTCTCTTACTCTCTCTCTCTCTCCCTCACTGTCACATTCACTCTCTCCTCTCTTACTCTCTCTCTCTCTCCCTCACTGTCACATTCACTCTCTCCCCCACTCCCCCCCCCCCCCCATGGCGCTGTGGGGACCAGCCCGGGCCCTGCCTCGAACAGCGCCTTACAGCGCCTGCCCTTCCCCCCCCTCCCCCCCTCCCTCCCGCCCGCCCGGCGCCGCTCGGCCATCATTCACACTTACACCGCGGCGCTGCCCGAGGGAAGGAGGGAAGAGAGATGGGGAGGGAAGGAGGGAGAGAGGGATGACAATAAACGGGCAAAAGCCGCCAACACTGACCCTGCGTCCCGACCCTCCGCCGCCGCCTCCCGCTCCCGCGCTGCTGCCCCCCGGCCTGGCTCAGGCGGCGCCGGGTACTGCAGCCTCTGGTACTGCATCACATGGGGAGGGGGAGGGACAGACAGACAGAGGGACAGAGGGACAGACAGACAGACAGACAGACAGATAGATAGATAGATAGATAGATAGATAGATAGATAGATAGATAGATAGATAGATAGATAGATGGGGAAAAAAAAGAGCGGTACACAGTAAGAAGGGATAATAATAATCCTGGCTCTCTGACCCGGCGCCGGGTCCCGTTCTTCGAGCCGTCTCGAAGCGCTTCACAGGGCACACCGCAAAGTGTAGTGACTGTGTCTGGCGGGCGGGCGGGCGGGCGACAGTGAAACAAAGCAAGGGCGATAGAATGTCGTCGTCGTTGTCGACGATCGATGGGACAGAGCGATAGAAAGAAAGAAAACTTACACACGTATATACTGTGTATATATACATAGACGTATATATATATATATATATATATATGAATGTGTGGATAAAGTTTTAAAAAAAAGACTCTTTGTCGAAGCTGAGACGCGACTGAATTTGCATTTAGTATCCCTCGTGTCAATAAAGTCTGAGACTGTCTGTATCTTATTTCCTCTCTCCGCGTAATAATAATAATAATAATCCTTGCATTTGATATAGCGCTTTTCAGGTCGGGAGGACGTCCCAAAGCGCTTACACAGAACACACTGTAAAGTGAATTGACTGTATATTTGTGGGCGAACGCGGCAGCCAATTGCGCACAGCAATGTCCCACAAACAGTCGTGGATTGAAAATGACCAATTTATTATTGTCTTTGGTTTTGGAGGGATTATTATTAGGCTCTGTGTGGAGTAAGGAAACTTGCCCAAGGTTTCGCCCTCTGCCTGGAATTGAACTCAGGTCTCTCGCTTGGAAAGCGAGTGCTCTAACCACTGAGCTACAGGACTCCACAACGCGTACTCGGGCGCGCGAGCGTTGCTGTTTCAGTGCAGTTAAATACGGTTCGATTTACATTCGCCATGAACTGCCCAAACCCCGCGCAGCGCTGTCGAGAGAGAGGGAGATCAATGTTTTGACACAAAACTGCCAAGAGGCGTGAAAGGAAACCCACCTCTTCCGGTCCCTGACAAACTGCAAATCAGAATCCAGGGCGGAAAAAAAAAACAGTAAACAATCACACGTTGGCGTTTTAAAGCTTTCGACTCGAGTGAAGCTTTACGAGTCGAAATTCGATCGGTTGGGATTCCGGCGCGAGCGAGCGAGCGAGACCCTCGACTCAGCTTCTCGCAGCAAAGACCTCGAGGTGAAAAGCAATGTCGCGTTTCGGACGCGCCTGCCCCAAACGTTTCCGCGTCACGGCCGTCGGTGGTGAGAATCGGTGGGGGAAGAGAGAGAGAGAGCGAGAAAAGAGAGAGAGAGAGCGCGGAAGAGTCGTCTCGCGGCACGAAAGGAGGAAAGATTTCAAAGTGATCCCCCCGCTGCGAAAGAAATCAGAGGTATTGTGTGCTGTTCAAAACAAAATTGGGAAATGTGGTCGAGTCGCTCGGGTGAAGAAATAACTGACTGTCCCTTTGTTCTGGTCACTGGTAACGGCTGCAACACCTCGGATGTGTGTGTGTGTGCGCGTGTGTGTACGTGTGTGTGTGCGCGTGTGTGCGTGTGCGTGTGTGAGACAGGTAGTGTGGTCAGAGGCGCAGATGTGCACAGATGTTCTGATACATGAGAACTGAACAATGTGTTCGTTCTGATAAGGTGGTGGTGGAGGCGTGGGGGCTGCGGGGTGGGAGGGGGTGGGGGTGGGAGGGTGGGGGGAGGGAGAGGGGGGTTCACGCCTGTCATAATGGCTTACCCGCAGCGCTGGTGTCAAAACAAAGACGAGTACCAAGAAATGTCAAATTCCCCCGAATCAGATCGTAGTCGAACAACAGTTCAAATATAGCCCTAATAATGAATGTGCTTTACGTCGGGAGGAGGAAGTCTCCGAGAGCCCTACTCTCGTGTGGGGGCGGCGGAGGGCGTGGGGGGAGGGCGGCTGAAAGCGCAATTGAAAGGATAAGTCTTAAGGCAGGGGTTGAAAGTAGGAAGGGAGGGGGCGAGGCAGAGGGATCCCAGGGCGCACGTCAGCGCCTTGGGACGTCATCCCGACGCGAAAGGCGCTATACGCATGTCATTTGTTGTGGTGGTGGTGGTGGTGGTGGTTGTTGTTGTTGTGGAGCTCATGTTAAAAGGGGCAAAGCTGACGTGAAATTTCTGAAATGTTTCTTGCGGTGCTCCTTGTTGAGGTTTCGGCTCGTCTTTGATCGCGGTGACGGCAACTCTCTTTTTTTCGAAGTTAATTTCTCCCCGTTATTCCTCGCGCCGGCGTGTTTCCATCGGCAAACTCGCGCCTTCTGGGTCTCTGGCTCAGAGGCACGTGAGCACAAGTTTACACCCGAACGACATTCCGACTTGCGATTTCACATAAAACCCGGTTCTGCTGCCAACTCTTGAACGGATTGCACAGTGTTAATCCATTGACACCAGTGGAAAAGTAGCTCGTATGATTTCCTTAGCACATTGTCGAGACGTCTCAAAGCACTCCACAGGATGTACTGTAAAGTGGATTGACTGTGTATTTTATGGGCGAAACGCAGCAGCCAGTTTGCCCACGGAAGTGTCCCACAAACAGCCATGGAGTGAGCGGCCAATTTTATTTGGGGGATTGTTGGCCAGGACACCGGGAGAGAGAGAAACTCCCTTCTCTTTTCCATAAATGTCAGGGGATCTTTAGTGTCCACCTGAACAGGCTTAAGGGTCGATATATAACCTGGACAGGCTAAAATAACAGCACCAAAGATCAATGCATTGCTTGACAGAGATGTCTGAATAACCTAAAATAATGTAAACCTGTTACATTTTTACTTCGGTGCATAAAATTTATCACAAGCTTTGGAGGGTGGAAAACCTTTGATTCTCGCGCTTTACTGCGAGTTCCTACAATTACGTGGAACGAGAACGCGTCATATAGCACTCTCTAAATATTTACATGTGCAAACTGGATTCATTTGTTTTTAAACAAATAAGCAGAGAAACTTTGGGGAACTTCACAGAGTAAAGATTTGTTTGTAAAATTGCCAGGTGATTGGGGGCAGAGAGTTTCAGAGGTGTTTTCTTTCATTGATTATCAAACTCCACGTTTCTCTTTAAATTATTCTTGCGGATTTTGAGTTACATCTTTTACAAACAGAGAACGAAACCACAGCATATCAGATGTTTGTGGAAAGCGCATTTGCTTGTACCTGTGAAAACAGGATGCGTGCTTTAGGGTGACCTTTAAATGGGTATTTAAACCCACTGGTGGGCGTAACAACAAAAATGCTAAACAGCGCAACTACCGCTGCGTGTTTTGTATTTGTTTGATTTGTGAAGAGAGCTGTGGATCACTGTGTAATAGTGAATTCATTTCGCACATCACGATGTTTGATTGGAGTCAGTTTTGCGTCACTTTGCAAGTTTGAGTTTTTATTTGACATGTTTGCTAGCGGGAACGTACTCTCGGGGGACCGACAATGTCTACTGTTTGCGTGCGAACTTGAAACGGATCTTACTAACCATCAGGTGTCAGCCTAGCTCAGCCGTCCGTGAGTCACAAGGCTGTGGGTTCAAGCACTTTGAGCTCATGGCGTAGGCTGACACTTGCTCCTCCCTACCTCTGTGACCTCCTAACCCACCAACCAACCTGCACGCTGCCTCCGCTCAGCGGGCTCCTGCCTGCTTCACGTGCCCCGCTTTGCCCGGCCCACCGTTGGTGGGCAGGACTTCAGCCTCTCTGCCCCCCACCCTCTGGGAGTCCCATCACACAATCCCTCTGCCTCGCCCCTTCCCATGCCTCCTTCAAGACCCGATCTCAAGATCCTCCTCTTCGACCAGTGCCTTTGGTCACCCTCCTACCCCTACCTTCCCCGCCCTCCACCCCTCCTGATCCCAATCACCAGCTCAGGTACGGATCCGTGACTGTCCAGCACCTTGGGATGTCCTCCTGACTTGAAAGGCGCTGTGCAAATGTCATTTGTTGACGTTGCTGCATTATCAGAAGTGACGTCTTTCGGATTAGACACTAAACTCTGGTCCTGACGGGCTGTTCGGGTGGACGCTAAAGATCCCGTGGCGTTATCTGAAAAGAGAAGGGAGTTTCCCCTGACGTCCTGACCGACAATCCCCAGATAAAATCGTTCACTCACTTCGTGGCTGTTTGTGGGACATTGCTGCAATTGCCTAGAAATCGAGTCACTAGACTTTACGGGAAACTCTGAGAGTTTCGACGTAATAAGGCGCTGTATCAAATGCAGGGATTATTATGAATAATAAGACCAATTGAAGTCCGCTTTGAAGGTTCAAAACGATGCAAGTTATTAAGCTGATCAGTAGATGGAGCTCATCTACCACTCACTACACAGTAAGATACTGTATTCAAGGCTGCCACCTGCTGATTGCTATGCGGTAACTATCGTTGAAGATGTACACTCATTAGGTGAGAGGACACAATTGGGTTGAGCTGCGATAGCAAAACTTGCTGATGCTTAACGTCAAAGGTCACACGTGAACCTCGGATGGTTTCCATCGCCCTGCGATCTGTATTATGTAGGGAGAGAGATCTGCAGGGAACGTCCCCGCATTGGATGTCATTCAATTGGTCACTCCATCCACGGCCGTTTGTGGGACGCTGTTGCGCGCAATTGGCTGCCGCGTTTCTCCCACAAAATACACAGTCACCACACTTTGCCATGTATTCCGTGAACCACTTTGAAACGTAAGATGCCATATCAAATGCAAGGATTATTATTTTTATGTGCTGCGGTCTGGCTCAGTGTGGTGTTTGCTAGACAGTGGATGGGTAAAAATGAAAGAAAACCTTGAACGAGGGAGTCACGGTTTAAGGTACTATTTTTGGACAGTGAGCCAAAGCTTGTGTTTCATTGATTATTATTAATCTTGCACTTTCATTGTGAATGAGTACGGTGCAGAATGCCGCGGCGGTTATTATAGAATATTATAGCACGTGCCATCTTTACAGCACCCACATCAAACGGTCTTCACATCTGGAGGATATTTCAATGCATTTGCATCGAGCGCAAAAATGGTGCAAATGCAAACAAGATCTTTTGCCTGGATGTATCTGAAAGGAGATTGAGCACCTCCAGCGTTTCAAAGCAGAACCCCACCACCTTGTGGAGAGCAGCAAACCAGCAATCCTGACGAAGGCATCAGAAGTTGCTGTACTGCTACGACAACAACAACAACAACAAGATTACATTTGTATAGCGCCTACGGGCTTCCTCGTGCACATTTCGCTAAGAACCGTGTTTTGTGTTACAGTTTGCAAATCACCGTGTATTGCAGTTTAGAAATCCTTATCATTTTTTTTTCAAATGATAATAAGATAAGCGCAGGGCGGAAAGGGGGGAGATTTCAAATCTGTTTACCTCGCAGTAATCGGTTGTCTGGTCGATTGACGGATCGCTTTCCGGGGGTAATAATCCCCCCAATTTTTTTATATACATTTGTTTACTCAATCTATAACTGTTTGTGGGACATCGCTGTGCGCAATTGGCTGCATCGTTTCGCCCACAAAACACACCTCTCAACGACATGGTAAGCTGCTGTATCAAACACCACCCTGATCAGCAATGTTTAATCCACTTTCACTAAAACAAATCTTTCTCGGAGCCACTCCCCATGGCTGTATCTGCTGAAATACTACTTAAACTCCTTTTAAGAGGATTAATATAACCCATTTTTGTATTACCTTATTACCAATTTGATTCCCTAAACTCTTGTTAAAACACTTTCTCGAACATTTACTCATTTTATTCCCAATTTTTGTGATTATTCCACATGTTCCTCCAACCCGCCCATGTCAGAGGAAAGCTTCTCTTTAACTCACCTCAATTAATATTTTACTCCCTGAAAACCAGCACTTAAACTTTAACCAGACAAAGTGGATATTGAAAAGCAATAAAACGTACTCTGGGCATATAGAGGAGTTAGTCAGTCAGATAGGATTAGAGCCGCAACAGGTCACAAATTGAATCAAGGTAGCAGAGTGAAAAGCAATACGAGATTGGAGATAGAGGAACAAACGAAACACACTGCAGGCAAATTGTTTTGCTTTTCATGATCCAAAATGGGAAGGAATTGTTCTTCGCTGCCTGGCAAGTGGAATTTCCCAGCCATGGTTACAAGATTGTTCATTGTTAATGATAAATAAAAATCAGACTTCAAATAAGTGCAGTAGAGCAAGTGTAGAGTAGTGACTGCAAGCAAGAGACGACCATAAGGGTCAGGTATCTCAATACATTCTGTTTGACCAAACGGTTTGCCGAAACAAAAGAAACTTGTATTTCAATAAGTGCCGTTCGACATCCAAGCACTTCACAGCGCTATACTTACCATCAAGTATAACGATAATAATCCTTGCATTTGATTCTTATTATTATTCGGCGCCTTATCTCGTCTT